TCAAGATTTTATTAAATAAAGAAATGATTTTGTGAATGAAAATAAGAATTCAAAAATTCTTAAGAAATATTTTTAAAACTAAGTAATGATTTAAATGACAGTGTGTGCCAATTTTCCGGGTATATTTTGAATTTTTTGTCATAGCTGTAATAAATAGTAAGATATTTAGACCAAACTCGAACAAATATTCAAAATCGAACTGCTTTTGAAAAAGTTATCACCATATAATATTTGTAAAACAAGGATTCCTCTGTCTATTATCATTAAAGGGACAGATTTGCCATTTTTGGAGACAAAACGGAAAATATTTAGCTAAGCAAATCAGCTCACTGTCGAAATTTGAGTCTTTTTAGCCATGTGTGTTACAGTAGACTTAATCATCCGGTCCGACTTCTTCTTTGCGTTTGCGACAAAAAAAGACTGGGTGTCAGAGACTCTAGCAACAAAACATTCAACTTTCATTCCCCAATTTTTAGAGAGTATTTCTGAAGACTGTTAACAAATTCAAGGCTGCAATCAACCCCTGAAAATGGCGAATCTGCCCCTTTAATGTAAAAACCATAAGTAATCTCCCTGTATGTTTTGAACACGGGGAGAAATGATTTAATCACAATGCCTGTCTTTATGAAGCTGGCACACACTGCAATTTAAATAGTTCTATGTTTGATAATAAGAATTTGTCTTTAAGGACCCTGTGCTTGCCATATATTTATAGTGTTGTGTAAATAATCATAAAAAAAACTTCAGACCTGTTCTCTTGCTGTTCTTACACTACCTTGACATTTTGGTCATGGGAGACAACTCCATTTATATATATAAACAACATTTTTTTCAATAACTGAAAGGGATCAGAAAACAGGCTTTGTTTTAGCCATCTCTCTCCAAGTTTGCTTGATCGTGACCCATTAGAGAGCTCAGAAAGCTCAGATTCATTCTAAATAAGCTCAGGACAGCTCTATGGAAAGTACATTAGAGAGCCAAGAAAGCTCAGATTCATTCTAAATTAGCTGAGAACAGTTCTATGGAAAGCATATGAGAGAGCTCAGAAAGCTCAGATTCATTCTAAATAAGCTCAGAACAGTTCTATGGAAAGCACATTAGAGAGCTCAGAATCATTCTAAATTAGCTCATGGAAAGCATAAACCAGTGCTGCTTCAAGCTAGCGTTTTAGTTACTAATTAGTGTTGTTATTCATTTTGATATTCATTAGCTTTTAACTTGTATATTTAGATTTTGTATATATTTTTCTGTATTTGTATTTTATGTATATCTAACACTTTAATATTTCCTGAATTCTTGATAGAAACTATTGATACATACATGTACTTGCTTTCTTGTATATTTTTACTTTCTGTATATCTTATATTTCAATGTTTCTTAAATTCTGGCTGTGCAGAAGAGTAGGACGTAAAACTCCATTCATTTCATTTCATTTCATTTAAATTCTGGCCGAAAGCGCTTAAATTATGGTCAAAAAATTATAGAACCATTCAACTATTCGCCTAAAGCCCAGGCTCCTTTTGTCCGTTTCGCGCAGGTGTATGTGGTGCGGTCTGAAGTATGCAACATACCAACTACATACGTAATTAACCATGTGTAAAGACATAATCCAGCCAATGACTGTCATTCTTGCTATTCTAAGATCCGTACAGCATTCATGAGATAAAAAAATGGGCGCTGTTTATATTAATGATAGAAGCGATTTTTCACACTTGATGATATGTATTACTCTGCATTACTACAGACATAAGGAGTCTTGGTTTTACTCTATTTTATATGTTTTTCTATGATCCAATCCAAATTTTGTATTATATACCCAAATACTGTACATTTTTATCTTTCCTTGCATATCTTGCACTCAAACCATTTTTTCAAAATCTTGAATTTCAAGAGAAGAGGTTGAGGCTATAATAGTCAAATTTTTACTTTACCAGCTGATTGAGCTTGGATCAGCTGTGTTTTACTTTTTTAAAATGGAAATCTGACATCCTATTTGTCTGCAATTTAATTAAAGTGGAGTGAAAGTGACCAAGCATAGCTTTTTCATCTTCAGAATATCAAGGTTTCAATGGCCTTACCATTACCATTCAGTGCTCAAATAAACTTGGTATTGTGAAGATGATTTTGTTTGAATTGTTAAGATCTCATCTCAAAATAAATCCACAATTCTGTATGCATATCTGTAACTGAACCAACCTTTATTCTGTTTTTTTTTTAGAAAGAAACCCTTGTCCCTTTGTAGAGGCCTTTCATATTAAATTACGTCCATCAATGAAATGTGCTTTATTGATATTTTTGTAATCTTTTGTAAATCATTTCTATTTTTTTGCTCAATATTTTTTGTTGAGCATCAGTTTATTTTTTTTTCAAATTGGGTAGGGTTTTTGTTTTGAAGTACTATGCTTAAGATTAATAAAAAAAAAAAGTCATTTTCCGAAGTCCAAACAAACCAGTAGAGGAATATTCTGATGTTGAATTAGGGGAAACATGGGGCAACAATGTGATTTATATTGGATATGTCAGTGGGGATAATGTCATGTAAATTAGTCTGATGTTTTAGTAGGAGAGAGTGGGGACTATGGGACACGGATTATAATGTCTGTTTAGTAGGGAGAAAATGAGGAATGTAATAATATATTGTAACGTTTCAGTAGGGGAAACCTGGGTATTTCTTGATCTATCATATCATTATATCTATCTATATATATTGTATATTATTTTATATTCTCTATCATTATTATTATTATAAACTATTATTATTATTGATTAGCATGTCATTATGCCTTACGTTAATTGGTAATAAAAAAATCCAAAAATATAATCAGGATGTGGTTATCATTTAAGTACTGTCCAAAAACATATATCTGCTATTTAGGATGGCCATCTAGTGTAAGCTATTAAGGATGCATTAGGAGAAATGTGTTTTTTAATTGGGGAGTGTATAAAAAAAAAAATAAGCAAGAATGGTCGCTGCAGTGGTATGATATGCTAATCCTTCACAAACAACTCGGCAGCAATTTGGGAATCCGAATGGCTATTATTTTTCTTTAGTCTTTTAACTCTATTGACACGAATGTTTTAAGTTAAAGGGGTTGTATAGAAATTTTTTATGTGTATCACAGACACTGATAGCATCAATTTGCACTTTTCAATTTTCAATGGTTCCTGCAATACCAGCGTCCTCGATACAATTTAAAAAAAAAATAGAAAACCTCTTTACAGTCCCTTTAACACATTCTATATAATTAGGGCAAAGATATTTACGCACGTTCTAAGACGAATCCAATCATGAACACGAAGAGTCCACTTTATTTTGAGGTAGAGTTATTGGTAATATACGTAGTAAGTGACCCAGAACTATTACTGTGCTGAATTAAAATCCTTAATTGCTCAGTAGAATTCATCACAGCTCATGTGAGTAGATTTTATTCACTTTATGAAGCAAGCCAGGTTTTCAAACATCTGTCAAATTTTGCTATGGTTTACTTTGTTAAGGTAAGAAATTTAGATCCATGATTCATTTTAATATTCATATTTAAAAATGTGACATATCTTTACAAGTGTCGGCTTATTCCTTAACACTCTTTTAGACACCTGATATCACTGTTCATTATGAAATACTTAAGATTGATATACTTCCTCATATGCACAGTTCATTAGGTGCAATCGATGTTTCCCCAAGGTGTTGTATTGGATTTCGGGTTTCATTTTGTGGTTCGGGGCCGCGGTGGCTCAGTGAGTTAGACGCTTGCTCGCTAACCTGAAGGTCCAGGGTTCAATCCCAGCATAGGTCGAGATAATACCTTCGGATTTTTCAACCCGGTTTCCCCCTGTCAGTGATGCAGGTAAGAGGGGCTGACATGGGAAAAGCGTTTAGTCGTTCGGATGGGACAATAAACCGAGGCCCCGTGTGCTACAGGCTGTGCACGTTAAAGATCCCTAGACAGTTGGAAATCGAAAAAGAGCAGGCTAATGCCCCTGTCCTGGCAAAATTTCCCTCATTGCACCCTGCATGGCGTTGCCCGTCTTCATTAGCCCACATGATGCAGAAAAGTAGGACGTAAAACTCCATTCATTTCATTTTCATTTTGTGGTGCGGATCGTTGGTACTTGGTTCATTTATGGTATGGATTAGAATCTCCTCTCTGATCCACATCTGGAGCTTTTGAGGTTTGACCCAATGTTGACTTTCAATCATCCAAAGGCAGAACGTGTCTCGTACAAAGCTGAATAGTTATGCAATATTTGACTTTTTCATGTCATTTCAAGATTCTTTCTAATAGCATCGTCAGTTTCAGCCTGAGCCGCAACCCTTGGTTTTGCCTCCTGAGATAAATTTAGTCATAGAAGGAAACAAATAGGTCCGCCATTCCATTTTAAAGGGACAGATGCCCCATTTTTTTTTAATTATCATACTTTAGTCTCAGAAACGGGAATTTTTAAGCTTAGCCAGTCGGTAATAGTGTTTACAGCTCACCATCGAAATTTGGGCCTTCAAATCCATGTGTGTCCAGAATTATCCGCGTTTTAATGAAGACTTTTTACATATATTCATGGCTACAATCAACCCCCAAAATTCCCGCATCTGTCCCTTTAAGTCTCGCCCGCAGCGAAAGCGAAAGCGAAAGTAGACACAACAGGGTTGTAGCAAATATAGATTTTGGATCACTCGGTCAGCGTTTCGGAGTAACCTATGTTGGAATATGCATTTTTACGCAAATTCTATTCATAATAATTACTTCAAGATATTTGTGAAACACGCGAATTCTTAACATTATATTTACATCTTTCCCGTTAACTATGCACGAGCATAGCATGATCCTGTCATGAAAAGCGCGATTTTAGCAGACGACAGTTTGAATACACCAAGAGTTCTCTAACAAAAAAGAGCAAATAAGGTAGACTCGACCGGTGTATAACGGCCCGAGTTGTTTGTTGTATTTTCAAATATTGAGGTCAAATCATTGTGGAAACGGAGAGGAATTTTCACAAAGAAGAGGAGACTTGTGCAACGCGACAGTTGTGTCTGCAGCGAGCTAGATGTCTAATTGAACAAGATATCAAATATGAAATCGGAATTTTTGAACGAAGTGAGAAATAAGTGTGAAAGAAGACCTTATTTACAACGGCGTCGCATGACAAAACCTGTCCACTACAAAAATGGGGACTTCGACTCAGACTTGGCATTCGCAATGCAGGAAAGTTTACAGATGGCCCGAGAAAAGGAAAATGAACTTAGTGGGTTTGAAAATTGTGCTTTGACAAATGGAGGTGTTTTAGACGAAATCCCAGCCGTCAAAATGGCGGGGAAGATTAACAATTCAGGAGATTCGGGAAATCGTGAGGCAGACGAACTGCGTGAAATGCTGTTGATTCATTTGGAATTAATTCAGCAACAAGGCGATGTGATCGAACAGAAGGATCGGGAAATTAAAGAGTTAAAATCGGAGAAAATAGCGGTAATTTTATTTTTGAATGTCGATTTTGTATGCCAGAGATATTGTTATTTTAAATTAATAAAATTTCGGCCTTTTTCAATTCTCGGTCAAAATGGCGGATGATTAGCATTTACTATCGGCTCGGTCTATTTTTAGATTGGTACAAAAATGAATTTGTATACGCCTTGTAGAAAATAAACCCCTGGTGCGATTGAATGGGTGGGTGTCCGTTAGAAGTTGCGAATTACTCAATCCATTGTTTTTTTTTTTTAAAATTGATGATGTATAAAACGTGCGGGGTTTAAAATGTTAATCCGAAGAAACGTATCAACAAAGGTCTAGAAATTTATGAATTTGTCAATTTGGGCGTGTGTAATTTTGTATATGTCGGAAACTTTGCCTTCGAGGGTCAATTATCAAAGCACTTCACACCCCAAACCGTAAAGGAACAAAGGCTATTACGTAATAGCTTTTATTTTAAAATGGACAAAATGTCTTCAACCTTTAGATTTGGCTCAGAGACAAAGATAAATAAATTGTGGGATCTTCTTTGTTTTTATAATACGGTGTAGATCTAGATCTATCTAGTCTTATAAAATTTTATCTGAAAAATTTTGATTGTTAAATCGCATTAGATTTATTTGTTATTGTTTGTCAAATTGTCCAGACAGTTATTGTTTTCAGAGTGTCTGGATAATCTAAAAATGTCAGGAAACGGAAATTGACGGGGGGAAAACGAAGCTTGCCGAATCGATACATTGAGAGACGACGGAAACATCCGAACATTGCTAGCTCTCTTGCCGATATTGATCACATGACTGATCATGTGACAATATTGAGACCATTGTGTATAAACACGCGTCATGGCCAAAGTGGAGGCGAAAAATTAATTATACAGCTTATGTTTCGACCTTGAAATCGACTAATTGCCGACATTTTGAATTATGATGAAATTACTTGATACGCTTTTTCATCCGTCTTCCTGGAAAATGGGTTTTCAAAGCGTTTCCGAGGTGAGAAAGTCGTGAAAAAGGCCTGCAAATCCTGGTGGGTGTCAAGGGTGGCTGTCGTTTTGCAGGTCAGGATGAGCTCAAATGTCCAGCTAGTTGCGACTTGTTGATGCAAAATAATTAGGTTGCACAAATTGCATGCATGCACTATCCGGTTTGCATTTTGCATTTGCATCAGTAGAATCTGTTTTGCATATTGAAAGACTGCACAGTGTAGAGAAGCCATTCTGCTTAGTGTCTTACTTTGACCACAGTGACATTTCTTTGTCCAGATGACAGTGATGATATTTCTGGATGAAATCTTGACCTCATCCTTCCTTCATTTGACAGATTTTGCTGAAACTTCAACTTTGTCTTGCTGTCCATTATAATCTTTATTGCCAAAAATAGGCCTACTCTATGCCAAATACAGCTCTGGTTGAAAAGAATGTTTGGCTCATTAGTTAAAAAGATTATCAAAATTATTTAAATTTACAGCTAGAATGTCGTTTGGAGAGAATGGAACGCAGAATGTCTCTATTGAAACAAAAGGAGGAATTACATGAACCAACAGATACAAAAGAAAATCAAGATGTTGCCTCTACTCCAAAGCAAGAAAAAGGCCTAAAAAGGTAAATTTAGGGTCATTGTATGACAGTGGAATAGGGAGGTGAAATTTAGATAAGATTAAGTCTCGTTATACTCTTATACAATAAGATAGTTTCCTTCTTTTAATTTATTCATATTGTGTACAATAATAAAACACAATACATCAATTGTATAGCAATATGGAAATATTAAAACAGAACTTGAATCATGCTGTTACTCGGAGTTTTACACTATGCAATCTTCAGACAACTGACCTATTTTCAGCCTGTTTCCCTACTTTAAGGGGAAGTTGTTCAAATGATTCAACATGATTCAAGTTTGGTTTTGATTTTTCTCCTCATTTGGATATTTGATTGATGGCTAATTGTACTGTCTTTGTACCAGATAGTGAACTTTTCTAGATCCATATACTCTTATACCTATATTATTCAAACTTGGGCATCATTCGGAAGAATTAAAATGCAATTTCTAAATTTCCAGAAAAGCCACAGTCCATTTGAGTTCTCCAACTCCAAGCAAATTTTTAGTCAAAAAACATGCAGGACCTGGGAGACCCGCTAAGATCAAAACTGAAAACAGCATCAGAAAATCTCGAGAAATACTGGTAAAGGATAGTCCTGAAATTGTGACAGACACCCCATTGTCCAGACTTCGACATCCAAGTGTCACAGAGGAAGAGCAAACCGTGTTAAAAACTGACTGTGTATACCATGTGTCCCAAGCAGAGTTACGTTCCCGCCATATTGAAATTATCGATCCAGAAGAGAGTAAGATTCTGGCTAAGTCCTTGAAAGAAAGTAAGTATCACTACTATTATGAGTTTACTTATGAAAAATTACTTGACTCCTTGGTGGCGCTTGATTTGAACAGAAGAGGAATTTGTCACATTCAAAATTTTCCCATCGATTTCCTTCTCCGCCATTTTGAATTCTGTCTGCACCTACTATTTATTCGGAACATGTGGAACACGTTCTGGTCTCTGTTTCAACTTGTTTTATTAAATGTTCTGTTGATTCCTTGAATCCTGTTTCCAGACCGTGCAGACGTCACCAATCTAGCGACCGCATAAGCTTTCGTTCTGCATTGGAAAGTTAACCTTCATGCATGATTGAGTTCTTATTAATTTGAGGATATGGTTGCGTAAATAAATGTTATACAAGTTGTCAGAGCCTTATTTCAGCTATCCATTTCATATTGAGAACCTTCAGTTCATCTACAATTAATATGAAGGTATCCACTCCACTGTGATGATGACATTCTTTCTAGTGATGACAAAAGCTACTGTTTTTTATTTGCAAATTCAATCCATTTGTGTTATCCTGTTGTACTAAATGATGTCACTTTTGTTTGAAGTTGAAGTACCGTCGTGGAGAAAAATCAAATATACTAATTTATATCAGATGGAAGGCACGGAGGTGAGTACATTTATCACTTCTTAAGAGGACAGGTTGGACAATCGTTTGACAAATTGTACCTTAGTTTCAGAAACAGGAATGTTTTTAGCTAAGTTAATCAGTAATAGTATTCACAGCTCATCGTCAAAATTTGAGACTTCCAATCCATTTGTGTTCAGAACTATCCGCCTGTGAAAGTTAAAATGAGGAATCGTCTTTTCTTGAGACACTGCCATATATAGAAAAGACATCTATAAAAATAGAAATTAAAATTCCTGGTTTGAGATATTTTTGAAGAAATAATGTGATTTTTGTACATTACTATGGCTATTTACTGGTATATATATTCATTCTGATGTAGTGAATGTGGACCAGTAGAAAGGTTTTTCAAGGAGATTTTATGTCAAATTTTGTTGTGAGATGACCTCAATTGTAACTTTCAATGTTTTAGAATTTAGAAGATGATACAATTATTAAAAGACATCAAAAACCTGAATTAGAGGAAAAACGTAGAAAGAGGTAGGAATTTCATTGCTGTAAAATCATCCATTTTCATTTTTTGGACGGTTTCATTATTCCACCTTCTTTGAGAAAATATAACATATATAACAAAAAAAATTTTTTCCAACCAATTATTTAGTTTTCTTATGTCAAAAATGAACATCTTTTTCTGTGAAAAGAAAATTTCAGGAATAATAATTTTTACAATGTAAAGGGAAATAACTCACATAAAATAAGGAATTACCTCCCTTGTCATTACAGGTGGGACATGCAGAGAATGAGAGAACAGAAAGCTGCCAAGAAATTACGAGAAAAGGATCATGTGATATCTCCAATACATAATATAGAAACGGCCAATGATATTGACTCCTTTCTACCCATCTTAGATGACAGTAAGTTAACTGTTGTTTTGTTACTTCATGAAGACTGGTAACACCATGTAGTGAACAATAAGGCAAATATGCAACAGTTTTTGACCGCAAACTGACAAAGTTCTGATTTAATTTGCAATCTGTCCGTTTATGTTTACGACATTTTTTCCATTCATACGCAAAGTTTAATATTTTCAGCCAATTATTTTCGTTGGCGATTAAATTCGCTCATCATGTCCGACATATTTTGTTCGGTGATCAATATTTCATAAACCAATCAGACTTGGTGCTGATATCATGTGACGTTCAAAATGGCTGCCTATGCCATTGTGTACCAATCAAGCGATCGACGGCAAAGTTCCACAGAGTTATACACGCTCTAGAATATTCGTTGTCCCTTCGTGATCAAGCAAAATAAAACTCTTGTTTGTGCCTAGCATAAGTCAAAGCCAAGATCACTAGATGAAAACTGATATTTACAATCGTTAAGCCCCCAAGCTGATATAAAAAATCTATGTATTTCAGTCAGCCACATAGAAATCAGTGATGAATTACCAGTCATAGCATTCGGTCATCCTTTACCTTCCTTACAATCACAGTGAGTACTTGATATACCCTTTGAACCAGTTTTAACTCTTTTAAGGGATTTTTAAGAGTTTTTTTTCTAAATTTTTTATGGTTAACGTCTTTGGTTCCTGTAATTCAACTAAAACTAAGTGTTTGATGATGTCATCGCATGATATGCTTTATCACATGAGGCTCTTTGTGACTAGTGACATCATCGAACACTTAGTTTTTGCAGAATTGCAGGAACCACAGATGTCTGATAGAATATTGGAATGGATGCTAATTGATGCCATCAGAGTCCCCGATACACATGAACATTTTAGAAAACCTCTTTACAATCTCATGCATTCTTTCTATATTCATTTCTTTGAACCAGTTCATTTTCCCAATTGTGGGCATTTTTTTATGGGAACTTTTCTTTTGCAATTGATGATTATGTCATTTAGACTTGGAAATGAAATAAAGTAATACATCCTACTGTTCTGTACCCAATTGGACTAATTAAGTCAATCAGTCTAATTAAATTCAGACCAAACTTTCGTTCCATTTTTTTTTAATTAGCTTTTATTATTAATATAGCATTTTCAGTAAGGGTCTGAAGACAGGCTTCTTGAAAGTTTGTCAAATTAACCTTTTGACCTAACCTGATAAATGCAACATCACAAAATGCCAGCTCTGGAGTGGGTTGAAAGTTGATTGGTTAAAGCTGACGTCGTCAAGTTGAATTTAATTTAAGAGAACTAACTGAAGTGGCTACATTAAAAATAAAATCTAATAAAAAAACAGAATGAAAGTTTGGTCTTATTTCAATCAGACTGGTACCCTATTTGACTAATAGAATGAAATGATCTTTTACCTAGAGGTAAATGCTGTTTCTCATATGTTACCCACTTTATCTTGTGAATGAATTTATTAAAGTTAAAAATGGTATATCATATATTTCAGAGAGTTTCAACTACCTTGGGATTATGATAGAAGTACTTTAAGTAAACGACACACAGGTTCCAGATCTCGTCGAAAGTAATGAATTCATCGTGTCAGCCATTATATTAATATTCTAATCATAATGAAGAGACATACTTGACGTATTGCTGGATGTTTATTTTTTGTTAAAGGGTCGAAGATAAGTGCTATATATAGAATTTGAAGCCAAAAGCTCTTCAAAGATAGAGAACCTCTTAAATTGGACAGTCACAAATTTGGTCAAAAGGAGTATATATTTATCAGTTAGACTTACCAGGTATCATGACTAACGAATAGAATCTTTGTATAAGACGACATATCCATTAAACTATTTAATTATTGAAAAAGGGTGTTCCAAAATTACTTAGTTTCATTATGAAATTTTCGATTTTTTTGGTAATCCTAAGATTCCATATATGCGTCATGCGGATCCGTCATGCGTCAAAAATCGAAATGGTTGGTTTAAGAGGGTATGATTCCATATATGCGGAAGCGGTATCTGTCGAATTGTCTCTGTCATGGGTAAAAAAAAAAAAATGGCTGGTTGAAGCGATTTTTGACGCATCCGGACGCCTTTCCGCGTGGAGATCTCCCTAATGTGACGTATTTTGTGGGGATTCCCTGTTTCTTTTATGCACCAAAGCATCCATCTGTCTAGAAGTCCGTGCTTCAAAAGAAAGATAACGTATACGTTTAACGCACATATGGAATCATATTTGATGCATGACGGATCCGCAAGGGCCATTTATGTCCGCATGACAAGTATATGGAATCTTAGCTTAAGAGGTAGTATTCCTTTAATGTTAATATCATTTGAGCTCAAGTGTTAAGCTTTATGGAGATTGAACAGGGTGGTTTATGATTCTACATTAAGGGGACAGATGAGCCATTTTGTATGGTTGATTTCAGTCTTGAACATGTAATAGAAATGTACGAAAATCTCATACTTCCTTTAAAAAACTTTAATCTCAGAATTTTACTCACTATTTGTATTTCTATATATCCCAGAGTATCTTAAAATGACAAGTCGTCATTTTAACTTTCAAACACAGATAATTCTGGACACACATGGATTTAAATGCTCAAATATCGACAGTAGGCTGTGAACACTATTACTGATTGACTTAGCTAAAAAATTTCTGTTTCTGAGACTAAAGTATGATTGGTCAAAAAAAAATGGCTCATCTGTCCCTTAAAACTTTTAACTTCCAAAATGGAAGAAATATGTTGAGTTTATCATTGTGTATTCATTAAATTTGTCAGTGTATCTTCCAATTCATTATTTATGTATTTTTCAAGATTTTTATTTGCATATTGACTGATTGTCACATTGAAATTATCAAAACACTTCATTTTACAAATTTTCATTCAATTCGAGCCTTTCACATCTTTATTATGTGGTCGAGATCATACAAAACTACACATGATTCTTAGATGAAAATAACACACACATATGAATGTGGTTCACAGCCATTTTGAATCTCTTCCTCGACTTATTACGTTGAACTTTGATAACGGCTTTTATATATCAATTAAAATTCATATTTAAAGGTTTCCAAATGGCTTAAAGTGATACTACGTCTTAGAATGAACATAAAATTTAATTCTCAAGAATGGTCAATATGAGTATATATTCATCAGTGAACTTACCTAGTGTCATAAAGTTACAACAGAATCCCTGTAAAATCTAGAAAATTGGAAAATTCATAAAACTAAGTCATTATTGAAAAACGCTTAATCATAATATTAAGCATTTTTCAATAGTTAATTGCATATTTATGGATAATTACTAAGTTTTTTGGATTTATCGGATTATATAAGGATCCTGTTATGTTATTTATGACTGATGAATATATACTCTTATTGGCCAAGTTTAAAATTTTTAACTTTTATGTTTATTCTAAGATGTAGTATCACTTTAATGTGATTTGATGGCTTTGTTGAAAAAATATAACCTTTTTCAAATTTCCACTTATTAAAACGAGGTAGAGATTCAAAATGGCTGTGTTTTAATTCCATGTAATAACCATACTTAGTTTTGGTATGAGTCTAGATTTGCCATAGAATAACATATAATTTGTTAATACACATGGGTTCATCGAGCAAGCTATCATATCAGCTTTGACTGTGAATTAACTAACATGTAAATAATGTATAATATGATTGTATTGTAAGTATAATGAAAGTAAGTGTTGTAATTTATTCAAATGATAATAAAATAGGGTGCGAGGTTTAATAGAGAGAGAGAGATATATGATTATATAGTTGTTATAGATTTTGTAAATATTTTCATTTTAACAGTAATTTATTTTGTGTATAAAAATGGCTTGAGGTAGGGAAGTAGACGAGATACCATATGGGATTATAGATATAGTAGATTAGATCAAATGAATTGAGATCCAATATCATTAAGATTAGATTAAAATTTGTATTCTTTTCTTTTTCTGATTTTTTTTTAGTCTACATTGAAATCTAACAAGTTTTTTACCAAACACATGTTCCAAAGGTAGTATTTTTTTTTAACCAATCAGAGCCTGTTGTGTAAAACCTGTTTCTTTATAGAATAAGGAATTGAAGAATATCTATAGTAACACAATATGACAGCCTTTCCACAATTCCTTATATCAAGAAACAGTTTTACATGACATGCTTTGATTGGTTAAAGATAACAACATTGTGACACGCCTTTGGTAGAAAATTATTTAGATTACAATGTAGACTAAAATATCACAGGATTAATTAGATTGATTGAGCCAAGACCTATTACGTGTTTGGTTCTATTTTATACTGTATCAATAATCTATATTATCCTGTTTTCTCTTTAGAAAAGGTTCCTTGTCATTCCAGAAAACTTTTCCAGATGATGTCACTGTTGTTAATACCATTCAAGCCAAAAGGTGTGAAGAGAAGCTAAAAGTGTCTAGAGACACTTTAAAAACTAGAATTAAATCATGCTTCAAGATTTTTAAATTATGTTCCCCAAATTCAGTTTTGTAAAAATAAAATGGTTAAATTATTGCTTCAATTTAAGTTACCTGTATTACTTTTCAGAATTAAATTCTGGTGTAAAGTTCCTATAGAATTAATGAAACAGACTGAGATTTAGCTAGTCCAGGTAACCAAGATAATCTTAGACATGATTTATCAATCTGACATCTCATGCAGGGAGTCTACATTGCAAGTATTGTTTATTTGGTGTTTAGGTTTGTCAACTTGATATCTTTTAAGGTCCTTTCAGAGAGTTCACATAGGTATAGTTGTGTAAGGTTCATTATTACTTAAACTACAAACAAATAGTCTGTATGTAGATGTCTTAAGTATATTTATCATTTTGTTGTGTTATTCTGAATGAAATTTCAAATTTGTGTAATTTCATTTGGACTTTTGTGTAAATGTGTATATGTCTTCAGTGTTAAGTTTATGTGTTATTTTGTGTTAAGTTTGTATAATAATTATGTGTATGTGTTATTTTGTGTTAAGTTTGTTTGTATAATAATTATGTGTATGTGTTATTTTGTGTTAAGTTTGTTTGTATAATAATTGTGTATGTGTTATTTTGTGTTAAGTTTGTCTGTATAATAATTGTGTATGTGTTATTTTGTGTTAAGTTTGTTTGTATAATAATTATGTATGTGTTATTTTGTGTTAAGTTTGTTTGTATAATAATTGTGTATGTGTTATTTTGTGTTAAGTTTGTTTGTATAATAATTATGTGTATGTAACATGTTGCAATAAAAAATTTGCGTAATTATATAATGTTATGTATTTTAAAGTATGCCAATCCATCATTTTTTGGCAGTTTAAGTCAGAATTTTATGATATTTTACGTTGGTTAAAAATCTTGGGACAAGTTAGAATTTTGACAATTGCCTTTGTTACACTGAAAATTTATCAGAGAAGCGGGCATATCTCGCTAGGCAATCACTTGTTATTCATGGCAAGAAAAATGCCACAGCCAGTGCAATCGAGAGTTTGCTTGGAAGTCTTTCCACAAAAAAAAGTGCTTATTTATATTTATTTGAAATCAAGAATCACCAATTTTTTGTTTAGTTTCACTGTAAGAATATATTTTGATGCTGTTATCTGCTCCCGATGACATCATTAACTCTGGTAAGGACCAATCAACAGCGAGTATTTTATCTTCATGGCCAGCCATATCGTACAGTGGTGCTTTAGGACTGAAAAAAGCAACAACACTGATAACTGTAGATTTGTAACATATGTACAAGCTTAATAAAGCTGTGAGCAATGTCTGCAAATTTTACTCTAAATAAAATTTCAAAATTTCACTTCAATTTATTTGCATGAAAAATGGGTCATAGAACTCGTTCTAATTTTTTTACACCTACCTTCTTTTATCCCATAATTTCACCAGACTGTCATGTGACCCAGATATAAAATGGTTTTCATTGGTTGATGACCAAGCTACACCAGCAATCCATAATTTATGTGAAGAAAATACACTTTTGACCACAGCTCCATCTGAAAAACAGAGTGAGGAGACTGAACAGATCAAGCTACTGAAGTGACTATGTTAAAAATAAAAGCTAATGAAAAACGGAACAAAAGTTTGTTCTAATTTTAATTAAACTGGACATGTTAACACATTCCATTTGATAAAATGGACGTCTGTCTGAGAAAAACCTAGAAGAGTAATAAATCAACCACCTACCATTTGATCTAGGATCATACAACCTCACAAATCTATCAGATCCACCAGCAACTATTGTACCATTTAACGCTGAGTAGGAAATATTGAAAAACGCTTTAGGTCCTTGCTGAAATAAAAACAAAATTTTTTGAAAATTGCTATCATATCATTGGTCCAAATCTGTACCAACTAATAAAAAAAAAAAAATCTGCATATTCCAAGAGATGCCCTTTTCCAACAATCGAGGATAAACTTTAAGCATTAAGAAAAGAAAAACAACTTACTAATTGAGATTTCTCTGAGGCTCGGTTGATGTCCCAGAATCTTAATGTATTATCCCAGGATGCTGTGCACACTTCTGCTGAGTTCAGCCAACAAGCAGATGATACAGCCTCTTTATGGCCTGACAGTGTTAATATAGGAACCTAGAAAGGAATTCATATATTTGAATTTGGACAAAATGTACATTTCAATCTGATAGTAATAAAACCAAATTTGAAATCAAAAGTGTTTGACCAATTAAATGGCTGGAAAAACTTACAGAGCTTAACAGAGTTCTGAGTTCTGAACAGAATCCGTCTGTTTCAATTTTGTCCCTTATTTAACAGTATGAAAGCGGATATGTCACATTCAAAATTTTCCTATCTCTTTCATTCTCCGCCATTTTGAATTCTGTCTGCACCTACTATTTTTTCAGCACACATGGAACGCATCCAGAACTCTGTTCAAGCTCGCTTTATTGAACATTCTATTGATTCCATAAATCCTGAACGTGCAGAACCCACCAATCGAGCAGCCCTTTGATACCACAGAATTGAAATCAAATTCAAGGAAGAACTAGAATACAAATAATTATGGCAAGCTTGCTTTACACATGTGAGTGTCACAAACTTGATTATGAATCTCAATTCTTACCCTAGTAGGAACAATATGGTCTGTTTTCTTTTTCTTTTTAGGTGCTGTGGTGTTACTGTCGTCTGCTGTATCTTCTTCTGCAGTTGAGGCTGAAATAGAAATAACATAACTTCTGTTTGAAGTCCAGAATAAATAGTGTTTTGCTCACAATTTTTTACTTCTGTCTGAAAATGCCTATTTCTTTCCCACATTATTACCAGCAAGGTTTTAGACTTCCAGAAACATTGGATTTGGATTTCAAAATGATGATCTGTGATTCCTCCAGTATTTTTCAAAAGAACCACAACTACATGGAGAATATGAATCTCTTACCTGATGACCAAATTTTTAACATTTTATCCCACGAACCGCTGCAAAACTATAAAATAAAAATTAACGTTAAAATAAACTTCTATAACTTTGGATTTTTTCAACCTGGTTTCCCCTATGTCAGTGATGCTGGTATGGAAAAAGTGTCTTGCTTAGGGCAAAATTTCTGGACAAATCCAAGTCTAATTAAAATCCACTTCAGTTAAGGTCTAAAGACGGCTTTTTGAACATTTATCACAATAACCTTTTGACCTACCCTGATGACCTCTGCTTTAACCAATCAAATTCCTTCACTTTGTCACAAAATTCCAGCATAGGAGAGGGTTAAAAAAATGAACGAAAGTTTGAGAGACAATTCCAGACTTTACAGAATACTGTGTTCTGATTCTCAAAAATTAATACACCCACCCTTTCATTTTCTGCATCCACAGCCAAACAGTCAACACTCTCTGTATGACCTCTACAGGTCACAATACAATCCACTTCTTTCTTTTCAATATTCCATTGCCATATATGGATTGTCTGGTCATGTGACCCACTCATAAATATTGGGGCTTTGTCGTCTGGGTCTAAAATAATGAACAAGCATTATCAGCTATGGGAACTCTCTGAAAGAGATGCTGAGTTGACCAACCTGAATAACAAACTAACATTAGCTATGTGGAATCTTTTGAAAAGGGAGCGGAATAGAATTTGAGGTTCCTGCAATTCCACTAAAACAAACTGTTTGAAAATTGGAATGATACAATTTGATGCTATCAGTGTCCCAAATACATATAAAAATTTAGAAAACCTCTTTACAATTAATTCAAGCTCTCAAGATTGACAAGGCCAGGTGTCTGAGAGAGAGTAAGCACTACCTTGTGTGATCCATTGTACTGTTTTAACTGGGCCAGAATGTGCTGGTATAGTCATTATTTCTTCTCCTTCTGTGCTCCATAATCTAATAGTATTATCATAACACCCAGATATAACACTATAATTACATAATTACAACTGTTAATATAATGATTGATGTGCAAAATGAAATGGGATTATCCATTCTGCCAAGTCCGTAACTACAGTGCGGCAACGGGGGCAATGACATGTGATTTGGGCCAAATAAATTTATTTCAGGTAAATGAAAACAAACTTGAAGTACCGGTATGTTATTTTACATACTACAATATTTATAAGATATAAAAACCACCAAAGTTATCTGTAAGGCCCAAATCACAATTTTAATCAATTTTGAGAAAAAAAACTGTCTAGAACAATGATAATAATAAGGCAAAATATAAATCTTAAGGTATAATGAATGTAGCATTGAAGTAATAGGTAGCAACAAGACATATTTTGTTTTTAAAGTATTTACTTAACATTTGTCGTGTTAAGTCCAATTGCTGAACATAATTGGGTTTGATATAAGTTTGGGGAGCCGCGTTGGCTCAGTGAGTTAGACGCTTGCTCGCTAACCTGAAGGTCCAGGGTTCAATCCCGGCATAGGTCGAGATAATACTTTCAGATTTATTCAACCCGGTTTCCCCCTGTCAGTGATGCAGGTAAGAGGGGCTGACATGGAAAAAGCGTCTAGTCGTTCGGATGGGACAATAAACCGAGGCCCCGTGTGCTACAGGCTGTGCACGTTAAAGATCCCCCGACAGTTGGAAATCGAAAAAGAGCAGGCTAATGCTGCTGTCCTGGCAAAATTTCCCTCATTGCACCCTGCATGGCGTTGCCCGTCTTCATTAGCCCACACGGTGCAGAAAAGTAGGACGTAAAACTCCGTTCATTTCATTTCATTTCATTTGATATAAGTTTGGTATGCAGAGAACTGCTCATGTAGATATTTGCTAGTAAAAGTGATTCTGATTGGAGAGAGAGTGGAGTGTAATCGTCTGCTTTAAATACCTTGAAACGTGACATTGGTATAAATCTTTTTAAGTTACAATGGAGACTAACCAAAATTAATAACAAAACAAAATTGTAATCTAATTTAAATTTAAATTATATTTATAACCAGAGTTGATGATATCACTGAACTGGAGCGAGCAAGCTATACTTACTATTTACTATAACCTTGTAAACAGCTGACCCAATCATCATGTAGAAGTGAGTTTTCAGGTTGAGGTGCTGGATGGTGTTCAAGATATTCTATTTCTAAAACTGTTTCCTGGTCAACAGAAAAAATACAATGAATATTAACATCCCAATAAAAAATACAACTTTTAGGAATAATTTAGAAATTTGAGAAAGGAAAATAACAATTTCAACTTTCCCAAGAAATCAGGAAAAGATAGAGAAAAAAAGATAGCTCATTATTGTTTAAAGGCACTATGAACAATTTTCATTATCGAAGATGTCGTAAATTATACCTGAAAATATTTCATCTATTTGAAATAAGAAATTTGGTGTTTGACTTTTAAATGGCTCTATATTATTAGTTGAAACGTTTAGAATAAGTAGGAGATATATTTCTCTACAGTTAGGTGTTTATTTTACTCAAATTCATACAGTAGTTTTTTAACAGCTTAATATTTTTGGGGATAAAAAATTAATGGCTGGATTTGTTTATGGTAAGGGACACATTTCTCTAGATTTTGGAGTAAAATTATGATAACTTTGAGCAAAAAAAAATTTGCAACCTAAAAAAAAAGCAGCATGCTCCTTTAAAGAAAGCAGAACAAAAAACATAGATCATCATTGTTTAAAACTTACAGATGAGATATCTTTTTGATCTAAAAATTCATTCAGAGGCTTCCTTAAAAATTCTTCATGAACCAGAAAATCAAACTTAATGACTTCTGTATCTTCCTTCTGAGGTTCATCTCCTGGAAAATAATTATAGGGAAATATGAAATAAAATGTCAAAGGTCCAGATATCTGATAGTATATGTCAAATGCAGATAAACTGTAGTAGTGTGCCATGAGGTAAAATTTTGTGATGCAAATAATTTACACTGTTTTCCATTTTATTTTAGACTGGAACACAAGGCCTGTATTCATTAGATAAACCAAGTACTTACAAAACGAAACCGCAAAATGAAACCCGAAACTGAAAACAACATTTTGGTGAAACATTGCTACAGCTAATGAACTTTTCACATGAGGAAGTATATCAATCATAAGTGTGTAAGCATTTCTTATTGAATATTGGTAGCAGGTGTCCAGAAGAGTAAGCATACCCTGCCTGGTACCACACAGTCATTGCTGTTTAACAAACAATAATGTAATCCATGTACACATTATACAAGATATCAGTTGAACTAATTATGGTTTTAAGAAATGTATACCAATAAATAATTTCACAGGGAAATATCATCATTTCATTTCAGGAAGTGTTTAATGTTACCTTGTTTAGGGTAAGGATTGGGTGACTATATCGTCAATTTTATTGAATTTTGGGTCTGCGGGGGTGACTTTTTTAACCACTGCCACAAAAAGACAGTGTTTCAACCCAGCGTTAGAGGGAAGTATTGAAGTTTACACAGTTCCAAAGTTGTTAACCCCTTAAAGGTGATATTCATATAGCCTGGTACGAGCAAGGATAGGTATTAGAGGAGGTGAAATGAAATGAATGGTGTTTTTATTTCCTACTTTTCTGCACCATGTGGGCTAATGAAGACAACGCCATGCTGGGTGCAATGAGGGAAATTTTGCCAGGACAGTGGCATTAGCCTGCTCTTATTCGATTTCCAACTGTCGAGGGATCTTTAACGTGCACAGCCTGTAGCACACGGGGCCTCGGTTTATTGTCCCATCCGAGCGACTAGACGCTTGCCAACAACTGGCTGACTTATGCTAGTACTGGCAATTAACCATTACAATTACTTTATCATAGAACTTGTTATTTACCTGTCAATAACCCATTAATAAGAGAAGTTAACTCTTCAACACCAGCAGACACAGGAACGGAAAATGGTGTGTCAGGTACTGAATATCTGAAAATAGATAGGACTACATGGTTTATTCAGAAATATGGGTGCCTTGAAGTTGGGACATTTTTACAATCAATTGCCAATTACCGCAATTCCGTACTGAAAAATTATTTATTGCACATGGCTAATGAGAGTTTTAGTTGTGGTCTGAAGCAAGAATTTATTGTAAACAATCATTTCAACAATTACTAATTCATTAATCGCCTAACAAATGAAAAATCAACAAATCCCATTAGACAAAATTTATCGGCAAAATTTCTAGATCTCATAAATATCATTAGAAAAGTGGAATATTACTGGGCTTGTTTGGTGAAAAACTTTGTTTGAACATGTGGTGTATTTTCGTCTTCCATCTTGAATTTTTTTTCTACCTTTAACATTGGAAATCGATGAACTAAAGGGGGATAATGACCCAAATCTCAACCAATCTAAACAGTTTGCGCAAACGCGCATCGAAATTTTGTAAACATCCGGATTGGGGCGACAACTTTAGTAAAGATTATCGAAAAACTTCCGTCTCGGACGATGAAAAATGTGTCAAAGAAGGACATTTAATCCTTGCACAAAACACCTGTCAGAATTTTGTGTTCAAAACCTCATCCTCCATTTTGTTCAGGATTGAAGCATCCTGAAGGACAAGTATTTGAAAGTGAACAAGGTAGATTCGTGGTTTTTGTAAAGAAATAAAAATTTTGTGACATATTTGTACTACACAAGTCAAATTTTAATCCACTTAAGTGTGGAATTTGGATTAATGTTACATTATGAAACAGTGACAATTTGACTCTCTCTGTTGTCATTTTGACTGTTTTGTCATGTCATAAGATGTTTCTGAGATTTTCTCTTACCTAGTTTCATTGACAGTGCAGTGACATTGAATTGTTGAACATTTTTGCCAGTCAGCAAGAACTGAGTCATCGAAATGTCTGATTCTAAAAATGAGGAATTTCGAATCGTGAAAGTGTTATATGATTATAATTACACTGATACAGATAGCAGAGAGGAAGTGTTTATGTACGTAGATGAGGAATTTATACTCTTGCAAGAAACTAACGATGAATGGTGGGAAGTCTGTCGTCCTGCCGAACAAGTTCCTTTTTTTGTTCCCGCGCAATATGTGACTATCATTGACACTCCTCCAAGGACAGACGTCAACTTCAATGAAGAAAATAACGTGAGTGAATTGACAGCAGAGGATGAAGGAGTAGTAGATGATGGTAATAGCGTAAATAACAATGAGGTTCAAAATGAAAAGGTTAAAGAGAAACCAGAAGTGACATACGCAAATCTGGAATATATACGTGCAGCTGCCAACATTCCAGAGCCAAAATTGGATATAAATCTTCCTGCTCCGCCAGTTCCTCCAAATAAACTCAACATAGACATAGAGGTAAGGTTTCAATTTACTGTAGTTTTCATCTATTTGGCAAGAGCTCATATCGTGTTTCTGATACACAATCCTCATCAGAACCAGGAAATGTGGTGCAATATAAAACTTTTGGTGTATGATTAAAATTAAAGGGATTCTAAAGTGGTTTTTTGAATTTATTATCTAGTGTATTTAAACTTAGTGTTTGATGACATCACTTATCTCAAAGGGCCTGATGTGATTAGTGATACCATCAAACACTAAGTTTTAGCGGAATTTCAGGAATCAAAGACGTCTGATTGTAAATTAGAATGATCCAAATTGATGCCACCAGTGTCCCTGATACACAAAAAAAATATGGAAAACCCCTTTACAATCCCTTTAAAGAACTCAATGATGTATTTATGACCATATGAGACACTAGCATGGTGTCTAAATGTTGGAACGAATTCAATCTGAACAACTCCCCATTTTTAAAGAATGATATCTATATAGTATACCAGTAGGCTTAATGATCATGTCACAGCTGTTGAAAATACTTTAAAACCATGTATTTTTTATTGTTTATCATGTAACAGAAGTAATTTGACAGCTGGTATATCATTCCTATGCTATTTATTCATCAAATATTCATTATTCAAATATTCTAGAGATTTTAATTAATTCACCAATAAATACTGGTGGTCGTTTTTTGATTTTATTATGTTTTTTTAATGAATGTTCAATAGTCATTGCTTTAGAATTTGTTTATTAGTTGAGTTGAATAAACTAAATGTAATATGGCATTGGTTGTTCCAAAAGGGTGATCATTGCTTGTCTTGCTAGATGCACCCATATTTGTTCACGTCTTGAAATTGACATTTGTTTTTCAAAAGGAGTTGACAAATTATTTGAAGAGCAGTATATCAGGGGACTTTTTCCTGAAAATTTAACTGATGATGATTTTAGTGTTCTAGTCATCTGATTGGCCAATCAATAAATTGATTTTTGAATTTATTCAGAGTAATTCTGTATTTCTTAAAATCTATCTTCGTTAAGTTTTCAAGGATAAAGTCCCTGGTCTTCAGTCATAGTGAGTATACACTGCCATGGTAATAATTCATTGTAGCGAAAACTAAGCACAGGCTTTGACTAAAGAATGTTAAGTTAATAGAATGGATGGTGGACTTGTCAACCCTTCAGCAGAGTGCTGTCAGGTGTTTCAGAAGGGTGATATTCCCTGCATTGCTGATGGCACTCACTATGGTGATTATCGTGGAATTTAAATTTGACTAACTTTGTGAGTTTATAAGAACAGGAGTTTTGTTATTTTTCAGTCACCGTCAGGAGAATATGCTAATTTAGCATTTATTCAGAGCTCTATCCACCCTCCAGCAGTTGAACAAGGAGATTTTGTAGAAGTGTTGTGTGAGCCGCTACCCTGGGATGTATATAAAGACCGATATTCCAATCGCCTCTTCTACCACAATCGGGAAACTGATGAATGTATGTGGAAACCACCCAGAAAGGGAAAATCCCCTTCTTCTCCACCTCCTGAGGTAAACAAATCTTTTCTCTATTATAAACCCTCCACAATATCTAGCATATAGGGGGGGAGGTCTTGTTTGATATTAATAAGGAGATAAGACTTTTGGTATTTTGTATGAACGATCATTTTTGAAAAATTCATACAGCTATAGTCCTTTGGATGGCAATCTTATTAGAATTAGATTACAGTTTGATTTTGTCTTGTTTATTTATATTTTTAGTCTCAATTATAATCTAAAGAGATTTCTTTCAAAAGTCTGTGCCAATGATGTTATTTTTAATCAATCATAGCATGCCATGTAGAACTTGTTTGTTGATATAAATAAGGAATTGTGGGATAGCGAAACCCAAAGAGATTGTCATATTGCTCTACTTGAGGTCTCTATTTCCCACAATTCCTTATTTGGGACAGGCTTTTGGTAGAAAACTTGTTAGATTACAATGTAGACTAAAAATAACAGAAAACAAGACAAAATGACATTTAATCTTATTTTAATAAGCTCGCCTTTGAAAATTTGAGCCTTCATATCCATGCTTGCCAAGAACTACCCACCTAATAATAAGAGTTAAAATGATGACTTGTTTTTTCGGCCATATGTATACAAGACTAGAAATAGAAAGTGAAAATCGACCCCTCAAATGGGTAACCAAAAGCCGTAAAAAAATGATAAAGTGATGTTGGTCGTATGTTAATATTTAGCGGGATATTGAAAGAAGTATAGATGTTGAAAAATAAATTAAACAAAAGAAATGTTGTATAAATCAAAAGAAATATTATGTTCGTGTAATTTTCACTTTTTTTTCACCTTTATATACTCTCATTAACTTCCTTGATCTATGAAAAGAAAAAATGAAGACATTTTTGTGTAAAAGTTGGAGACAAACTTAAAATCCTTTTCAACTTTTTTATTTAGTGCATATATTGTATTTTTAATTTTTAAATTGATGTTAGGACATCCTGTATGTATTAGATAGGCTCAGTGAGTTAGATGCTTGCTCACTAACCTGAAGGTTCAGGGTTCAATCCTGGCATAGGTCGAGACAATACCTTCAGATTTTTCAACCTAGTTTCCATCTGTCAGTGATGCAAGTAAGAGGGACTGACATGGAAAAAGCGTCTAGTCGTTTGAATGGGACGATAAACCGAGGCCCCTGTGTGCTACAGGCTGTGCACATTAAAGATCCCTCGACAGTTGGAAATAGAAAAAAGGCAGGGTAATGCTGCTATATTGGCACAATTTCCCACATTGTACCCTGCATGGTGTTGCCCATATTTCATTAGCCTACATGGTGCAGAAAAGTAAGACGTAAAACTCAATTCATTTAATTTGGTTATGTTTTGATTATATAAGCGATAATGCCTCACCGATTATTTCAATTTGTTGCTAAATATTTTCTTTTGATTGCCCATCACTAATTCAAGTGGATTTTCAACATAATATGATATCAAATTAAACTCCAGGAAATGGTTTAAAATTAATGATAATCTTTTGATATATAAGATAAGGGAAGAGGTGTGGTAAAATTGTTTTTATTTGACCAAAACCAGTTGAATTAAAATTAGACTAATCTTCTGTTTTCTATTAGCTTTTATTTCTGCCGTATCCACTGCAGGAATTTTATGTCTAATGTGTCTCAGAATACAACTTTTGTTTGCGTCCCAAAATCCCAGTGTTGGAGAAGGCAGGAATTTGATTGGCTGGGGGTGTCATTATACGGACAAATGTTCAAGGCCGTCTTTAGACCTTACTGAAGTGACTTATATTACAAAAAAAGCTAATACTGGTAATTAAAACAGAACGAAAGGTTGGTCTAATTTTTATTGATTGTAGCAAAATAAACCCCAGGAAATGATAAAATAATCTGTTGATATAAAAGACAAGAGAAGAGGTGTGGTGTAATTGTTTTTATATGACCACAATGTTAATTTGTTATCTCAACAAACTGAGAAAGAAAAATAAAACTGATAGTCAAGATATCATTGACCTAGACTTAATTACATTAGGTTTATATAGATAACACTATATAATGACTCATAGTGATATATTATTAACTATGTGAATTTTCCAATAGAGATGCTGAGTTGACAAACCTCGATATTGAATAATGAGCAATGTTGACTCATGTTGAATGGGATACCCACAGTGATGTTTCTAGAAAACGTTAGATCAGGGGCCGGGCACAGGGTACACAATTTTCTTGGGGACCCCAATTTAAAGAGATTGTAAAGAGGTTTTCTAAAATTTTTAAGGTCACTGATGGCATCAATTTTCACAGTTCTGTGGTTCCTGTAATTCCCTTAAAACTAACTGCTAGATGATGTCACTAATCCCAAAATATGCTTGTATCACATAAGTCACATTAGTGACGTCATCAAACACTTAGTTTTTAGTGGAGTTGCAGGAACCACAGACGTCTGATTGAAAATTGGAATGGTGCAAATTGATGCAATCAGTGTCCCTCTACACTCTACAGAAAAAAAAAATTTGAAAACCTTTTTACAGTATAATCCCTTTAAGTAGTGATTATAAAACAAGTGAACCAATATAGATGACCACTGACCAATCAGTTTGTGATGATATCAGAGATGGACAGGGGTCAGTAGAAGTTATAAACATCAATATTATGATACAATCACTAATTGTCACTCGACCTTGTCTATCTTTACTTCTTCAGGCCATTTCTCACTTTATTTTTTTATTTTTTATGTGGGTCACCTATATTCTCTCTGTAGTTTTGCTGATCTTTAGAATCCATTCATCAGCTTTTATTCTGCATATTTTTGACATCATTATATTTGTCTCTCTCATGTTGTTACTGGCGTTTTGGTTACCAACTTTTCATGTTCGACATTTGGTGATTTGTTATAATTTGCTGACCAGCGTATTTTTCTCCGTGTATTTTTTTTTCTTTGCAATAATTTTGGTATTTGTTACTTAAAGGGATTGTAAAGAGGTTTTCTAAAATTTGTATGTGTATCGTGGACACTGATAGAATCAATTTGCATTATTCCAATTTTCAATTAGACATCTGTGGTTCCTGCAATTCCTTAAATGGTCCTAGTTAATCAGTTTAGGGCCACTAAACTAAGAGTTTGATGACGTCACTAATCGCAAAATATGCTTAATCACATAAATACCTTTCTAATAGTGACATCATAAAACACTTATTTTTAGTGGAATTGCGAACCACAGTCGACTGATTAAATATTGTCCCTAATACATATTACTTTTTTTTAGAAAACCACTGTACAATCTCTTTAAAGATCACTTGAAAGTTGGAAATTTACATTAAGTATCTTTGAATGGTAGGAGCTTACTTTCCTACATTGTGCACCGTATGGCATTGAATTCTTCATGAGCCCAATCGGGAGGTTAGAATTGGAAATAAAATATTCAATTTTTTTTATTATATCATTATCTCATTTTATTTCAAATTGTTTCATTTTATTTCATTTTATTTCATATTATTTCTTTTATTTATATTGTTATTGATGAATATTATTTCATATTGTTTCATATTATTTCATATTGTTTCATATTATTTCATATTGTTTCATATTATCTCATTTTATTTCATTTTATTTCAAATTGTTTCATTTTATTTCATATTATTTCTTTTATTTATATTGTTATTGATGAATATTATTTCATATTGTTTCATATTATTTCATATTGTTTCATATTATTTATATTGTTTCATATGATGAATATTATTTCATTTTGTTTCAAATTGTTTCATTTTATTTCATATTATTTCTTTTATTTATATTGTTATTGATGAATATTATTTCATATTGTTTCATATTATTTCATTTTATTTCATTTTATTTCACATTATTTCATATTATTTCATTTTGTTCCATATTCTTTCATGTTATTTCATTTTATTTTCTATTATTTCATATTATTTCATATGATTTCATTTTGTTTCATATGGTTTCGTATTGTTTCATATTATTTCGTATTGTTTCATATTATTTCATTTTATTTCCTTTTTATTTCATTTTCTTTTTCATTTTATTTCATATTATTTACAGAAGGTGGGCGAGGGGCATGTGATCGGGGAAAGGAAATTGGGGCTGCCCCCAGAACCTAAAGTACGGAAATCTCTGACTAATGATTTGTTTGACGAGTATGAAATAAAAACAGAAAATGGTGAAGAAATTCATGTTAACAGAATATCTAAGGAAAAAGTAACTAGTATTTAGATATGTTATGATGGAATGAGTTTCCTTATATTGTTAATTGTGCAATTAGGCAAATATTTAGATTCCCAAGTCTTGGCCATAAACTAGTCATCTAGATATCCAGACTGATATCAAAGGAAAGGTAATAGTATTCAAATATGTTGCTGATAGAATGAGTTTCATTATATTGTTAATTGAGCATTTAGGTAATTATTTTGATTCCGAGCCAAAAACTAGACATCAAATTATGACTTCAAAAATTATTGTTTCAGTTCAAAAAGACAGAAGATGGGAAATTTATGGATATTGATACAGGAGAAAAACATTCCGAGTTGCCTAGCAACAGAAACGAGAAAAAGGCTAAGGTAGGCGCTTATTTTATAGCTTAAAGTTTGTAACCCATGTGTGATCAGAATTATCTGTGTTCAAATGACAACTCATCTTTTTGAGATTCTACCATAATCTACAGATATAGAAAGTTAAATTCCTAGTTTGAGATATTTTTGAAGGATTATGGGATTTTCGTAAATTTCCAGTGCTTCTGAAAACTATTTACATATTCAAGACCAAAATCAACCTCTAAAATGCACAGGCACAGTAGAGCCAGGGAGGCTAGCTGAAGCTTAGCTTTCCACTGAATAAAGCTTAGACTACATTGAGCATTTTTCTCTTCATAAATGTACTTTTATCTTGAATCAGAAATTCTCTTTAGCCTCTGATTGTTTTGGATTCTCTTCAGCCCCTGAATATACTCTTCCTGCAGTTTTGCTTCAATTTCCTATGCATATCCTCATTAGCCCATCAAGAGCCAAAATCTAGGATGAAAAATTCCATTTGATTAAAATATTTGTAAGTAAGGGGAAGTAACTCCTATGATTTTTGTTGAGCGTTTAGTTATTCACTTAAGTTAGTTCAGTCAGTTATTCAGTTTAAGCATATTACCGTATTTCACATAGTATGTGTATCTTCAATTAAATTGCAAGTATTTGGGCAAAATAAGATTATCAGGGACAATCAGGAAGTTGCTCTGGAGGTAACCTCATGCCTCATGGGATACAGACAGTTGCTCACTGGAAAATTGCATCAAAATTTGATGATTGCATTTTTACCTTGAGTATGGTAAGGTGAAATACTGTAGTGTACCAAATAAACATTAGTAGCTGTGTGGATATTGAGAGGTTACAAACCCAAGTGGTAGAGTTGTTTTCTGAAATGTGTTCAAGAAGAGTGAACATGCCTAGGATCCTATTGTCAGTTTATTAGATTGAGTATGGTACTGTATATGAGTCAGTGATCCTATTCAGTAAATAGTGTAAGCTTGTTGTGTCTATAACTTCCTATTTGGTTAGACTCTACAAATATTGCTTAGTTCAATTCTCTGTGGACCTTTATTGGAAAACCCCTGAACATTTTTTGAATTAAGGATCTTGATTTCTCTGTCTGCAAATGAAATGAATGGAGTTTTACGTCCCACTTTTCTGCACCATGTGGGCTAATGAAGACGGTCTCTGTCTGCAGGACATGACTGACTTGGTGACTCAAATGACTGACATTGGGTGTGTCTCACTTTGAAGGTTTCAAATCATTTTGAAGATTAACATGTTAAGGGTGTGGGGAGTGTATTTTGAGTTGGCTAGAATGTACGGTACATTGAAAATCATTAAACCTCAATCATATTACTCAAATACAAGGTTTACCTGATAAAGAGAAACATGGTAGAAACATGTATTAGTTTCAAAAGTGTTGATAATGACAGTGACATTGAATTTGTGATATTGGGTCATATTTTAAAGGGATTGTAAAGAGGTTTTCTAAATTTTTTATGCGTATCAGGGACACTGATATCATCAATTTTCACCATTCTAATTTTCAATCAGATGTCTGTGGTTCTAGCAATTCTACTAAAACTAAGTGTTTTATGACATCACCCCTGCAAAATATGCTTTATCACATAACACCTTTGCGGGGGTGATGTCATAAAACATTTAGTTTTGGTAGAATTACAGGAACCACAGACGTCTGATTAAAAAATGGAATAGCGCCAATCTATGCTGTCAGTGTCTCCGATACACATAAAAGATTAATAACAAATATTTTACAATCCCTTTAAAAAAATTTTATTTTGTGAAATGATTTCACTGTTTAATTTAGGAAATATGATTTTGAGTCATTGGAAATTTTTTTTCCCACTTTATTTCAATCCATTTTCTTCTACTATTTATAGAGCTTAAAGTGATACATTCATTTAATTATTGGCTTCAGAATATCAGCTACCTTTATCACAATACACTAATTAGCTATGTGGACTCTTTGTAATGGCCTCAAGCTTATTCAAAGAGTGGCATCAAGTGTTTTAGTTTACGCAGTGATTACAATAAAGCATTTTACCTGAGGATTTATATATTTTTAAGTTAAATCCTCCAATTTAAACAGAATAATTTATCTTTCGTGTCATATAATTTTCATACCATCTATATGAAGAACTGACCAATCAAATTTAAGCGCTGGACTTCCCTCGATACAAAATGGCAGACGTCCAACCGTAACACCGAACTCTTTATGTAGCTTTTTCATCAGCAGCATGTTCTTGTTAATAAGGAGCTAAGTCAATCAGTAATAGTGTTCACTAATTACGGTTGAAATTTGAGCCTTCAAATCCATGTGTGTCCAGAATTATCTGCGTTTGAAAGTTAAAATGATGACTCAACATTCTTGAGATTCTGCCATAAAAAGAAAAGACATATAGAAATAGATCGTGTATTCCTAGTTTGAGATATTTTTAAAGGAATGATGTGTTTTTGTTCATTTCTAGTACTTCTAAAGACTATTTACATATTCAAGACTCATGAAATGAATCTGTCCCTTTAAACTCATTGGGCTGTCTGTTTCCTCGTGTGTTCTGGTTTCTATTTGACCACTTGAGCTATACTGTTTCCTCGAGTAAGAGTATATTATATATAGATTGTCGTTCTGGATCATTGACGATTTTAAACACAGCCTTTTAACAAAGTTCATGTCTTGTGTGATAATCATTTCTGATTGGGTAAGATTGGTTTTTATACGCCCACATCTCTCTTTGTGGATGTATATTGTCAAGGACCCCAGTCCGTCCGTCGATGGGTCCGTCCATCCGTCCGTAAACGCTCTAAAAACTGCAGTGCATGATGAGCGAAATTTTGCCAGAACAAGGGAATTATTAGCCTGCTCTTTTTCTATTTTCAACTGTCGAGGGATCATTAACGTGCACAGCCTGTAGCACACAGGGCCTTGATTTATTGTCCCAACTGGACCTTCAAGTATCTAACTCACTGAGCAACCGTGACTCCCTTCGAAAGATCTTCAGGTTACAGAGCAAGCTTCTAACTCACTGAGCCACTGTGGGTCCCTGTCATATTTCGAAGATGAGAAGTCCAATACATATTACATCCTATAAATTTTGATTCTCCTGGGAAAGTATAATGACGTCAGTAAATATATGAATGAAAGTACAATACATGTCATGTTGTCAAGGTGATACAAGTACGGATGTTTTCAAACTTTTTTTCAACAGTCTAATATTTGTCATGTAACCTATCAAAACACTCTCTAATCTTTTGTCTAGTTTGTGATTTTGCCAATTTAAAGCTCAGCTATGTCAGATTTTTCTAATACAAATTAATGTCTTTCTGCATTATGCATTAATGTGTAGACATGCCTAAATATTCATCTTATTATTTTGGTGGTATAGCTCCTACAATTGGGTTATTTTTGGGATGGTGCGGAAAAGTCAGGCATATTTTCCAGCAAATGTGGAAGGGAACAGTGGAAAGCATATATTGTAAATTCTACATTGATATAATGAATTTTGTATGTGTATAAGAGACACTTATATCATCAATTTACACCATTCCAATTTTCAATCAGATATCTGTGGTTCCTGTAATTCCACTACAACTAAGTGTTTGATGACGTCACTAATCATGAAGGGCCTTTGTGATGAAGCAAATTTTTCGATTAATGACGTCCTCAAACACTTAGATTTAGTGGAATTGAAGGAACCACAGACATCTGATTGAAAATTGGAATGGTATAAATTGATGCTATCAGTGTCCCCTATACATATTTGGATTTAGAAAACCTCTTTACAATCTCTTTAATGATTTAAATAACAGTTTCAATCTTGCATATTGTAGTTTTAAAGTGAGTAGCTTATTATGAATAAAAATAATGAAAGCTTAAAATTTGTACTTAGTTATAATTGGGTTAGCTCTATAAAGAAGTATAACTTGTATAAGATATATAACTTGTTGAGGTTATATTTGTATTATGTTATAACTTTATAAATGGTGTAACATTATGTAAATTGATTTTAACATAACAATAGGTGTGAAACTCCTCTGTTAGATATTGATACAATTCATTCACTGATCAATATCATGAAGATTACCTAGTCTGTCACCAACACTTGCTAACTGACTCATGGTTTTTAATATTTCTTAAAATTGTGTTTGTGGTGTGTGTATTTTTGTGGATATTCTGAATCATTATTTTGAATTTTAGAAAGATTTATATGGATTTTGTCCAAATATTTTCGATTCTAAAGTTGTGTTTGTGGTGTGTATTTTATGGATATTTTGAATTATTATTTCAACTTAAGAAAGATTTATATGGATTTTGTCCAAATATTTTCGATTCTAAAGTTGTGTTTGTGGTGTGTATTTTATGGATATTTTGAATTATTATTTCAACTTAAGAAAGATTTATATGGATTTTGACAAAATATTGTTTATTATTTAGTTGTGTTTGTGGTGTGTGTATTTTTTTGGATATTTTGAATTATTATTTCAACTTAAGAAAGATTTATATGGATTTTGTCCAAATATTTTCGATTGTAAAGTTGTGTTTGTTGTGTGTATTTTATGGATATTTTGAATTATTATTTCAACTTAAGAAAGATTTATATGGATTTTGTCCAAATATTTTCGATTGTAAAGTTGTGTTTGTGGTGTGTATTTTATGGATATTTTGAATTATTATTTCAACTTTAGAAGGATTTATATGGATTTTGTCCAAATATTTTCGATTGTAAAATTGTGTTTGTGGTGTGTGTATTTTATGGATATTTTGAATTATTATTTCAATTTAGAAAGATTTATATGGATTTTGTCAATCCTGACTTGATCTCGAGTGTCCCAATATTGCAGATTTTGTGGGCGATATCTTGATCCTTAACCATTGTAACCTGACAAGCAAAGGGTACTAGGAAATAGGATATTGAACGAATAGTACCTCTTAGAAGAAACATCAAATTTAAAGTCTCAAACTTGACCACCATGTGTGTATAATCATCAGTTAGACTTACTAGGTACCATGACTAAAGAATAAAATCTCTATATAAGACCATATATCCATTAAACTAAATAATTATTGAAACACTCTTCTAAGCATGTTTCAAAATTACTTAGTTTAATGAATTATTACTTAGTTTTATAGATTTAATAGATTATAGAGGGATTCTGTTGTATAGTCTTGACACCAGGTAAGTTCACTGATGATCAAAGACTCATTTTGGCCAAGTTTAAAAATTTCAATTTTTTTGTCTTTTTTTGTCAGAGGAAGTTAAACAAAATTTAATTAAGTGTATTTACCATGTTTGGAATTAAAGCTATTCTGTCATGTAAATAGATCAATATAATTGGTTTTTAATCACCTAGATACCATGTTGATAATGAATACTCCATGTTTTATTCAAATGATGGCGGCTTTAATTAGTTTATTACATGTCTGAAGACTTGATGGTTGTTAATTGTATCCAGTACATTCTGATCTTTCAAGGGGTTACTTGTCAGTTTTGATAACTTACCTTTGATCAAGCAGATCAGATCATATTCTATCCTTGCTATTTAAAGACAGTTCTTAGGAATCATTTTTGTCTGGTATTGTGTTTTGATGAATCTAATTGCTGTAGATTTTGATCGCTCAAAGGATTGAGAGTCAGTTTCACTGTGTAACCTTTGATTAAGCAGACAGATATTCTTGTCGATTAAGACTAATAAGCTATCTTCAAAATCATTTTTGTGCAATATTGTTTTGAAAAATCTAATTGCTGTAGATTTTGATCACTCATAGGATTAAGAGTCAGTTTCACTGTATAACCTTTGATTAAGCAGACAGGTGTTCTTGTCGATTAAGACTAAGAAGCTATCTTCAAAATCATTTATGTGCAGTATTATGTTTTAATAATTCTTAATTTGTTAAAACTAAATCCATCAATCACAATTAGTGACAGGATTCTTGCTCTTCTGTATCAAGGGTTTTATGACCAAACTGACACAATGACCTTTGAGATATCAAGATGGTGCTTTCATGGCCAGGAACATATTGATCAAATGTTATGATACAGTTGTTTGGTTGCTAGGGAAAGGTATCCATTTATATTGATTTAGAGGAAGTGATATTTATGTTATGGCAGTTGTAGATTTCAATTGATTCTTATTTTTATGAGAAATGGTCTAGAGAATGATAAAAATACTTTAAAAACTCAAATTTGATTAGTTATTTCAATATCTGTCTAAGTGAAAACTTGGAATTTTTACATCAGTACCGTACTGTTCTTAATTGGATTATTTTGATTAAGAAATAGCAATGTTTATTTTCAGGAAGTATCTTAAGATTGGTTCCTGTTTTCATGATAATTGTCTTTGAAAAGTTCCAAGATTTGTTTTGATTAGGTATTGCAAGATATTATTATATGTGTAAAGTTTATTTTTAGAACAATTGCATTTATAAGTGGATTATCTCAATTGAATGATTAATGGATTAGGATTAAAAGTTGAGATTAGGATTACAGATTAAAAGATTACAGTTAGTCTTAGGTCTGTTGTCAGAAAGTTGAAAATGATCTACTTTGGTTATGTTGTTGTTGGCCTTCTCATATTTACCAGTCACAGTTGACTCACATTTGGTTCAATCCAATCAAAATTAGAATATTATTTTTCTTTTTTGTCTCTATTATAATCTAACAAGATTTATACCAAGATTGTGTACTGATAATGCTTATCAGCCAATCAGAATCAATTCTACTAACGAGTATCGAGTATCGTTAGTCTCATGATCTCATTGGTCATAATACTCTACTTTAGGTTTCACTATCCCACAATTCATAGTTGATCTTTAGACACAGATTCTGCATGACACATTGTGATTGGTTGAAATGAATTTCAACAGTACACGACACTGGTATAAATCTCGTTAGATTACAATGGAGACTGACAAAAAAAAGAAACAAAAGTTTTATCTAATTTTGATTAGATTGCTAATAGATAGATGGGTGAAATATTTTGAGTTTTTGATACAGTGTGGTGGCATACGCGTAATATTTACAGTTTTTTTACTGTTTTATCAAACCTAAAGATATCATTAAAAATATACAAACATTACAGTATCACTTTATCATTAAACTAGTGTTGAGTTTAAACCTGGATTAAATATTAAACTCTTAACAAGCTATATGGAATATTTCTTTCTTTTGGATGAAATAGTTGATATCCCAAGCGACAGTGGACTCAAGTGTGCTATAGAATTCTGAGAGATACTAATAACTGATTCAAAATTATGAACACGAGTTGAAAATATCATATGAATATTTTGAAAATAATAGGACAAAGAGTTCCAAACTTGGATAATATGGACATCTCAAGCAAAAGTGAAATCAAGTGTCTTAAACAATTTTGAGTGTAGTTGATTCAAGTCTGAAGAAGGCAGCATGCAAATAGTAATAGTAGATTGAAAACACAATAGCAGAGAGATATAAAGTGTTGGTGTGAGTGAAACAACCAAAATGTCAGTGATTCGAATACGTCGTAAAAAAAGCATTTATCATTTAAATTCACAGGGGGAAGAAAAGTCAAATGGAGAGGTTGTCGGCACGGTTACTAACAAATCCTTCACATCTCTTGCACGTTCCTCGAAATCTACTTCCTTATATGGTAATGATTCAGCATTCAAACAGAATTTAGAGCAACATTTGGCCAAATCTTCCACTTTACCGCCAAATTTCTCTCCAGCTCCAGATAACGATGCAGTAAGTTTTTTTTTTATTATTATAATATAGATACAAAACAGGTTTTTTCTGTCTGATGTCTGTGGTTCCTGTAATTGTAGAAAAACTAGACAAATAGTATAATATATAGCTTGTATTGGCACCGATTTGAAGTCTCTTCTTCTTACAATTGCAAAAAAACTAAGCGGACGTTAACTTTCACAAATATTTTTTAGCTTGGCATAGGTTTACAAATTAGGGCATAGATTAGAATGACATTCAATAACATAGTTGACACAGGCTGCAGTCTAATTAAAATTCGATACACTTTTGTTCTGTTTTTTAAAACCTTATATTTTTAATGTCGCCACTTCAGTTAGGATCTAATGATGGCCATTGGAGAGAGGGAAGAAATTTGATTGGCTGGCAGTGTCATCATATGGACAAATGTTCAAGAGGGCTGTCTTTAGACCCTAAGTGAAGTGGCTGAATTAAAATTGTAATCGTATAAAAAAAATGGAACGAAAGTTTGGTCTAGTTTTTATTAGAGGCTATAAATTGCCTTGACCTTATAGGCATGTTTTAGTTTGCTTGATCACACAATGCTTCAGGTGGCCTAGAATTAATAATGACCTTTTTCAATCCAAAAGTTGAGACCAAGGGTTTTTAACTTAAGGTAATTTCGAACTTTTTGGGGGTAGTGCTTTGTAGTCTAGCCTAACATTTTATGACAATTATAGATTTAGATGTTTTATTCAGTCAGCCTCAATTTTTTGCCATGAAAAAGATTGCTGAGAAAACCTACTTAGGGCAAGGATTTGTAGGGGAAGTAAGGATTTATAAGGGGAAGATGGATTATAGTAAGGATTTATAGATGGAAGGTGGAAGGGGGTTATTAAAAGGATTTACAGAGAAGAGAGGGTAATAGTAAGGATTTATAGGGGAAGGGGAGTAATAGTAAGGATTCATTCTGGGAAGGGAGGTAATAGTAAGGATTTATACTGAGAAGGGAGGTAATAGTAATGATTTATACTGAGAAGGGAAATAATAGTAAGGATTTATACTGAGAAGGGAGGTAATAGTAAGGATTTATACTGAGAAGGGAGGTAATAGTAAAGATTTATAAGGGGAAGATGGGTTATAGTAAGGATTTATAGGTGGAAGGTGGAAGGGGGTTATTAAAAGGATTTACAGAGAAGAGAGGGTAATAGTAAGGATTTATAGGGGAAGGGGAGTAATAGTAAGGATTTATACTGAGAAGGGAGGTAATTGTAAGGATTTATACTGAGAAGGGAGGTAATAGTAAGGATTTATTCTGGGAAGGGAGGTAATAGTAAGGATTTATACTGAGAAGGGAGGTAATAGTAAGGATTTATACTGGGAAGGGAGGTAATAGTAAGGATTTATACTGGGAAGGGAGGTAATAGTAAGGATTTATACTGAGAAGGGAGGTAATAGTAAGGATTTATACTGGGAAGGGAGGTAATAGTAAGGATTTATACTTGGAAGGGAGGTAATAGTAAGGATTTATTCTGGGAAGGGAGGTAATAGTAAGGATTTATACTGAGAAGGGAGGTAATAGTAAGGATTTATACTGGGAAGGGAGGTAATAGTAAGGATTTATACTTGGAAGGGAGGTAATAGTAAGGATTTATACTGAGAAGGGAGGTAAAAGTAAGGATTTATACTGGGAAGGGAGGTAATAGTAAGGATTTATACTGTGAAGGGAGGTAATAGTAAGGATTTATACTGGGAAGGGAGGTAATAGTAAGGATTTATACTTGGAAGGGAGGTAATAGTAAGGATTTATACTGAGAAGGAAGGTAATAATAAGGATTTATACTGGGGATGCAGGTAATAGTAAGGATTTATAGGTGGAAGGGGGTAATAGTAAGGATTTATCCTGGGAAGGAAGAATAGTAAGAGTAAGGTTTTATAGGGAGAAGATGGGTAATGGTAAGGATTTATAGGGGAAAGATGGGTAATATTAAGATTTTTTTTAGAGGGAAGAGGGGTAATAGTAATAGTAAGGATTTATAGGGGGAAGAGGGTAAGGTAATAGTCAGAGTAAGGATTTATAGGAGGAAGAAGGATAATAGTAAGGTTTATAGGGGATGAAGGATAATAGTGATGATTTAATAGGGAGAAGGAGGGTAATAGTAAGGATTTATAGGGGGAAGGAGGTAATTATAAGGCTTTATAGGGAAGGGTAATTCAACTGATCAAGCATCCTGAAAGGGGTAATAGAAAGTAAAAGGTTGAAAACCCCTCATATCAAATTGATATTAGACATCATAATGGAAAAAAGGGGTAATCTATTCTAATTGGACTAGCATATGCATGATGCTATAACACTGAATGTTTTGTTTTATTTAGCCGTTGAGTGTCCCATCAGGCATTCCAGCCATACCACCCCATTCCAACTTAATAGATCCTGTTAGACCTTCTTCCCCTTCAATGGTCAAATCTGCCAGCACTCCTTCAACGACAGCCAGCTCTTATAGACAGGAGGTAAGTCTCTTGTGAGCCAACTTGGAGATTTAGAGGTTGCATGAGTCCACCTAGATTCTGTAAAGAGTTAAGTAAAGATAGCAAAAAGCCAACTTATAGGATGTAGAGGTTTAGTGAGTCCACCTTGATTTTCTACAGGGTTTAGCTATAAGCCAACTTATAGGATGTAGCTGTTTAGTGGATCAAAAGCATATAAAGCGGTATAGCAAAGATAGCAATTAGCCAACCTATAGGATGTAGAGGTTTAGTGAGTTCACCTTGATTTTGTAAAGGTAAAGATAGCATTAAGCCAACTTATAGGATGTAGAGGATTAGTGAATCCTCCAAGATTGTAGATTATAGTAAAGATAGCAATAAGCCAACTTAGATGGTTGAAAGGGTTAGGATACACCTAAAGGGTGTAGAGATAGTATCCTAAGAGGATGCAAATATTGTACTAAGTCAACATAGAGGCTGTAGTGGGAAAGGGTGAGGGAATCAATTTAGAGCTGTGAAGATATTTTGTGATTAAACTGAAGAATGTAAAGATATTAGTATGCCAATCTGAAGGATGTAATAGACTTTATTCACACGTCGGCCATATTGAATCAAAAACGAGGCTCATTACGCAAACAAAGAAAGATAACGTTGTGTCACTGCATAAAATCTCCACTTTGACGTCTTTAAAGACACCTTCTCCAATCTCACTAACTCAAAACTAATCATATTTTACATCATTAAATTTGGAATTGATTAAGATACTTACCAGTAGTGATACTTTTTAAAGAATTTTACCTTCACACATTTCTGAGACAGGGCAGTTTTAAGCCATATTTCTCGCTTTTGGTCAGGTGTTTAGTGACGTCACAACTCACATAGGCTATTAGTTCATATGATGCCACCATCTTATCAATGGATGAGGTAATTTGCGTTATGAACCTCGCTTTCAGTGTCTTGAAAATAGGGGTGAAAAAGGTCTATCGAGAAGAATAAAAATAAACTCTAGGAATCATTGTAAAATTTTAATGACTTGAATGATTTTGTTTCAGCCTAATAAACCACTATGTGGGTACATCATGACTTCCAAAATATCAGAAGTGGGAAAGAAAGTCAAGTAAGTGTTTTCATATTACTAATATCAAAGGATAGCTTGGAAAATTTTCGTGATTCCTTGTTCAGTAAAAGCACAGATACTGCATATATGTTCGTTACTTGATAGGAACCAAGGCTGCTCAGTGAATAAGATGCTCACTAGAGGGCCTGATGGTTTAGGTATGAGGGACAGTGAAAAAGCAAATGGCCTACCATTAAAGTGACACTAGCACTCTGCAACATATCACTTTAACAAATGGCAGACATTAGTCACCGGAACTGTGTGAATATTGTCACATGAACATGTGATTCTGGTAATTTAAATATCAGAGGCTGGTCGTTCAGGACTACGAGTAAATGTAAACAAAAACCAAAACATAACCTTCTTATGATATGAATAGAAAATTACTATAGAATGTATAATTGGTAAACCGATAGTCGCAATAGAATATTAAATGCACAATTTTGTGTCAGAATTATCTCCTAAAGTCTATAAAGCTAGGGACTATATTCAGGTCGCAATATTACTATCACTTGACAAATTACTGCTAAATACCGGAAGTAAAGACTCTCGCCCAAGAAGACACAACAAAATTAACCTTTCACTATGAAGACAGATTTAGCTTTACGGAAACTGCTGAGGATTGAGGTCTCTGTTGCTTTTGTTTGCCTAATTCAGCTACAGAAATGAATGACGTAGAAATCCAATATTTTTTCATTAGCTACATAGAAGGTGAAACTCCTTTCGTTTCATTTGAATTTATACTAAATTTTGTTTTCAGGAAAAATTGGGGCCAAGCTTATTTAGTATTAAAACAATCGAACTTAGTATTTTATAAAGATGAAAAGGCGACCAATCAGAAACAGTCTGGATCCCCTCACGGTAAAACAGAGCTAGTCCTCAACCTACAGGGTGCCAAGATAGACCTGAACCCCCGTGATATTACCAGCAAGAAAAACGTTATTTTGGTACGTCTATTTCATTTACTAAATACATGTCATTGGATTTGATTGAAAATCCCCTCATCGCACACTGTGGTCAGTTGAATATTGGGTGTATCCTTGGTACGGAATCTTTTAGATATTAATTATCTTCTTCATTTCTTGATAATAATGATGAATTGTGGGATTGTGAAATCAAAGGTATAGCAATATGACAGTTTCTTTAGGATTAGCTATCCAATTGGATTAACACAACGTCATTAGAACACAATTGTGGTAGAAACCTTGTTAGATTACAAGTAGATTATAAATAGTTTTTGAATTTTCAATTTTATATATTTTTTTTTTGTTTATTTTGCAGCTGGCAACGTCGAATGGTAGCAAGTATTTACTACAATCAGATGAAGAAACTATTTATAGATGGTTTACAGAGATGAAACTTGTCTCTGGTGATATTGTGAGTAAATATTTCTCCTATTCAGTGAGTTTGGAAGGGCCTATGTGAGTCTGCTGCAGGCAAATGAACAGTCTTGGTCAACAATTTTTGTCGCCAACTACAGTCTTGTCAAGAGTTTCACCGACAGGCTGCGAGCACACAAGGAGAGAACAAAAAACTTCAGTCAGTCGATTCCTGCAATTAAAAGGAAAATGAATCTGATTGGATGATGGCGCCCTGTCTTGCAGACGATAAAACAATCAGCAACAAATATCAAGGTGTTTTGATATTATAAACCTTTCAAAGACAAGTTTACCTTGTCATGGAAGCACGGGCACACTATAGTTAACAAAATGTCTAATGTAGTGACCAGTGGTTTTCAGAGTGACCTAGGGTCAATCCTCTGCCCCTGCTACCTAATTCCTGTACCAAATAACCTGATAATTTTCTGATTACAGGAAAATGAAAAGAGACCCTCTAGTCGAGAAGATAAAAAAAGCTCAGGTAGGTGGAACTCTGAAACTTTGTTTAGTCTAATATTATTAGTTGATTATGAACAGACTAAAGAGGGGGTGTGCACCAACTGCATTAGGCTTTGGCCCTCAGGCATGTGAAAGTTCTTTTTTTGAATTAAAGATTAAGCCCTTAATGCTCAAGTGCTATACCATTTACTATAGGAATTATGACTAAATCATTTATCCCAGTGTTCAACACTATATATGTTTTTGTTGATATTGTGGTTTTTCATAACTGTCAACAATAAGAGGGTTGGTTGGTTGGTAGATGATAAGTTATATTTCGCTTCCAATGAATGCTGATATCTCAAACTAGGTAGTTGTTGGTAGACATAGTAGTTGGTAGTTGGATTGGTTCAAATTGGATGATTACAATAGAGGGAGTAATTCTTGCTTTATGTACTCATTAGATCTATTTCAAACCTTCCATTACGACCATGCTATCAATATTTCTGAATATTTCATCTTATTTGGTGCACACTGCCCCTTTAAGAAGCGTTTTGGAATTTATTGGGGCATTGGGCCTTATTTTGAGGTGAAAATTAAGCCCTCTAAATGCTCAAATTCTCTGGAATCAATGACTTCTAGGGGCCTCTAGCATTCCCCAGTCCCCCGGGCTCAAGAGATCATGGCCATTCAGGCCTTGCCTCAGAGAGACACCTAATTTCTGGACCCCCACCCTCCTCAAGCATTTTCTAGATATGTTCTGTATAGGGTAATTTAGATAGGTGTATTTCATACATTTCCCATTAACTAGTCTTTAATAACACCTTTTCTCTATTTTATACTACCATACTAAAATTAATTCTTGCATTATTTATTAACAAATCCCTCATTTTTACTAGCAACATGTCATTTAAATGTCTTGTTTCCTCTATATTGTATTACTGTGGTGTCTTCAACTTATTTAAAGGCATACACTCAATTAGATATTTATTTTATCAGCTGATAGAGCTCAAAATTTTGCTATCTGTATAGTTATCTAAGTATGTGTTTCACCAGCTTTTTCTAATCGAAAATCTTGTCCAAAGTCATCTAGATATTTACCTTACCAACTGAGCTCAATTTCAGCTATCTGTCATAGTCATCTAAATATGCTCTTGACCAGCTGATAGAACTTAATTTCAGCTTTATGTATAGTCCTTTAAATATTTGCTCCGCCAGCTGAAGAGCTCTTTCAGCTTTTTGGAAAGTCATCTAGATATTTACCTTGAGCTCAATTTCAGTTATCTGTATCATTATCTAAGTATGCTCTTGACCAGCTGATAGAGCTTAATTTCAGCTTTATGTATAGTCCTTTAAATATTTGCTCCGCCAGCTTTTTGAAAAGTCATCTAGATATTTACCTTGAGCTCAATTTCAGTTATCTGTATCATTATCTAAATATACTCTTGACCAGCTGATAGAGCTTAATTTAAGTTATCTGTAATAGAAAAAAAATATCTGTTTCTTCTACAATTCAATGAAAAAAGATACATCCATTATATCTAAAAAGACTTCTTTTAAATCTTATTATTTAGATGACAGTGTCCCTACTTATGTATTATGTACCTAGATTAGGTAAAAGGGGTCAAGTCTAAGAGTTTTTAGTTAAATTGGGAAATATACTACAATATCTTGTAAATTTGCCAAAATTAAAACAATTATGAGACCTTCTATTTTAACCTTTTTTGGGTGTGACTTAAATTTGCCTTTATATAGACTTGCACGAGATATATTCAAGTTGGATATATATATTGTCTTGTGTTTTTGTTATATACCTACCTATATCTAATTGGCATTATGTCAGGATTTTGTATTACGACCATTTTACGACCAGGTTTTCTGGACTGAAGGTGAGAAGAGACTAGGTATGGTGTCTGATACAGTGGGGGATTACACCTAACTCATTAAATATTGCCATTTCGTATCTTTTTTATTTTCTGATATTTTTAGTCTACAGTGTAAATCTAAGAAGTTTTGATTGGTTTGAAATACTACCTTTAGGACAGACCTTTAGTAGAAAACTTGTTAGATTAGATTGGAGACTAAAATATCAGAAAAAAGATACGAAATTGTAATGTAATTGAATTAGATTGGAATTATGCATGCAGTAGAGAAAATAAGAACCAAATCATATCGGTACTGTGTCTTTTCTAGATGCGTGTATTTCGTTTCTTGTATTTTCTACAGTATTGATAATCCCACTCTGTACACCCTACCTTGTTTTTTTAAGCAGTGCTTATTAAGAGCATTGTGAAGATGTTTTCTACATTTTTTATGTGCATCAGGAACACTGATAGCATCAATTTGTGCCATTTTAATTTTCAATCAGATGTCTGTGGTTCCTGCAAATCTACTAAATTTACGTGTTTGATGACGTGACTATCGCAAAATATGCTTTATCACATAAAGTTCCATGTGATTAGTGACATCATCAAACTCTTAGTTTCAGTGGAATTGCCGAAACCACAGACACCTGATTGAAAATTTGAATAATGCAAATTGATGCTATCAGTCCCCGATACACATGAAAAATATGTAAAAACCTCCTTACAATCTCTTTAGGTTTAAATTTTAGACCTTTTTCTGAAACTTTTTGGCATTGATGTTGCACATTTTGAATTATTTTGTCAAAACTGTACAAATATTTGAGATGAATAAGACATCAGTTAGTATGAGAGTTACCTCCCCTTAATTTAGGAATGACAAGAAGTATGTCAGCAGAAGACGGAAGTAGTGGCAGAAAATTATGGGATATCAGATCGAGGCTCTTGGGATTAATGAGGTCACGTCCGGCTCAAGAAGATTTAGTGAAACGCGGTATAATTAAAGGTGATTTACAATTGATATTCTTCGCGAAAAATCGAAAATCTTAAGGGAGATAATTTACAAGAAAATTAAAATGACGGGCTCCCTTTCACATAAGATTTTAATCAATTTTTGATTAAATTTGTGAAACAGGCCCCCATAATTTTGAAAATTTGTAATTTTTCCCAGTGGTCAGTTTTCTAAGAAATTTCACTCGTAGAGAGCAGTGTTCAAAAAGTGAATTTCTGACTGAGAAAGTGGCTTTTAAGGGACAGATGCACCATTCTGGAGGGTTGATTTGAGTCTTGAGTATATGTAAATTGTCTAGAAATGTATGAAAATGGCAATAATTCCTTCAAAAATATCTGAAATTTGCAATTTCTCTTTCTGTTTCTATATATGTCTTGAAAAAAGACAACTCGTATTTTTAACTTTCAAACGCGGATATTTCTGGATATACATCGATTTTAAGGCTCAATTTTGGGCAGTGAGCACTGAACACTATTACTGATTGGCTTAGCTAAATAATTCCTGTTTTTGAGACTCAAGTATGATTGGTAAAAAAAATGGCGCATCTGTCCCTTTAAGTAGACCAAATAATGCAGTCAGCTTTTATGTTGTTATCACTATGCATGTGACAATCATCTCTGTATTGTGGAACCCAAAAATAGTCTGATATGCTTTGTAACTGTTTGAAATTCATGAAAAGCTATGCACACTAAAAGCATTTTTGCAAGTAGTTTGCCTTCACACCTTAAAGAGATAGTAAAGAGGTTTTTTAAATTTTGTATGTGTATCAGGTACACTGATAGCATCAATTTACACCATTCAAATTTTCAATCAGACAACTGTGGTTCGTGCAATTCCAAACTAAGTGTTTGATGACGTCACTAATCGCAAAGGGCCTTATATGATACAAGCATACTTTTGGATTAGTGACATCATCAAACACTTAATTTAGTGGAATTGCAGGAACCACAGACATCTGATTGAAACGTGGAATACTTGCAATTTGATGCAATCAGTGTCCATGATACATATAAATATTGAAAAATACTCTTCACAATCCCTTTAACAAATATTATACTATGTCTTGATGTGGAAAAAAACACCTGGATTACCTCCCCTTTCTGTCCTTTAGTCCTACGTTTCCATAAAAATTTGTCATGTCAAATTTTTTATCTTCTAGAGACACTTTGTTGTACATTTTTAACAATTTTTCACCCAACTTGCTAATTTTTTTACTAAATTTTCTACTTAATTACTGATTGTGGCTTCAAATTTTAGAATTAGTTTACATATTTAGTGGTTTTGGGCATTTTAGCTTGAAATTTGGTAGTTCCTTTCATTTTGAATTTACATAAAGCGCTATGGTTTTGGGTTTTTACATAAGCTTACTTTTAGCTTGCTTGACATGGAAGCCATAAGGTGCCTATTTTTTACATTTAGATAGAATGATGGTTGCTCAATTTCATTTCAGAAACATTTCACAGAGACAAAACTTCACTGTGATGCATCCAAAGTGGCAGAAGTCCCCAATCAATGCATCTTTATATCAAGCTATTACAAACTATGTCTTATACCTTGACTGTAATAGCCATTTTTTTATCATGGAAGTTGGTAAATGCAGCAATTTGATTGGATGTACCTGGCCTAATCAGAATCCTCTTGAGAAAGTCTGTAAACTTTAAGCCATGGCCTGTCTGTTGGGGCTATGATTGGCTGTATTCGCTTGCTTACAATTCAATCAAATCACTGCATTCTGTGATTCAAGAAAGGTGTCTATTGTTGTCAAGGTATAAGACATTGTGAAGATGTAATCAATGTCATTGAACAAATTTTCAAGCATATCATTGGCATTTTTGGAGACCCATAACTTTAAAGATTGTAATTTTTTCTTTGTATTAAAGATATTCTGTGCCACTAATGTCAAGAATTAATGGTAATGTTTTATTTTGATTATTTAGATCTAGTATTTGGGTCACGATTAAAAGATTTATGTGAAAAGGAACACACTAAAATACCTAACTTTGTACGAGCCTGTATAACAGCTGTAGAAAAAAGAGGTAGGATTTGAACTCGGGGGTGCTATTAAGGGTGTCTTCCCACATCTCCCCTTCCCAATTCGCTCCTAAATAATTCCTTTACGTCCCTTCTCCGTTTTGCCCTTTTCCCATATCGCCTCTTGCTAATTTACCACTTTCCCATATCGCCCCCTTCCTAATTTACCACTTTCCCGTATCGCCCCCTTTCTAAGTTGCCCCTTTCCCATATTGCCCCCTTCCTAATTTACCATTTTCCCATATCGCCCCCTTCCTAATTTTCCCCTTTCCCATATCGCCCCCTTCCTAATTTGCAAAGAAAAATGAGAAAGGTTCAAATTGGGTAAGGGGCAAAATAAGAAAAGGGTCTTATTTTGGGAAAGGGACATAATGGGAAGTGGCGAAATGGGAATAAATTTGGGGGTGAATTGGGGAGGGGCAAAATGGAAAGGGGCGATATGGGAATAAACCACTAATGCTCCTTAAAGCATTTCATTTCATTTGAAATACTATATAGCTCCTAGCTGGTTCTCAATAAAGGGTAATTGCAAAAAACTCAGGGGGATACTTGAGAAGCTTCATATTACATTAGCACAAGTGAATGGTTCTATTTATGAATAAACGCATAATTCCCTATAATTCCTTGCATATTTTCTGTGTAGGGCCTTCATTTTAAGGTCAGCCTTTTTGCATTAACGGAAAAATATACTTGCTCGTAACAAATAAGATCCAGATAAACATGTTCATATGGCAACAAAATTGAAACTTTTAATCAAAATTATGTTATTTGGAACAATTTACCTTCAATTTTAACTGAGTTGTCAACTTCAAAGGGTGCTATGTTGTTTTGTTTATGTGGTGCATGAATACATGACCTAATTTGCATAGTTATTAGCCTTTTCATATTGTTTGTATGAACCTGTGTTATGAACCAGAGAACAATACTGTTGTGTGATAACAGTATGTTCTGTACAAGTAGAACTGTCTGCAGTAATTGAGAATTCTAAAGGAGAATCTGATATTATAATTGTAGGTGTAGATCATGATGGTATTTATAGAGTTAGTGGAAATTTAGCTGAAATCCAAAAACTACGCTACGCTGTAGATAAAGGTTTGTTTTTTTTGTCCGAATGTTGTTGTTTGTATTCAATAACTTTGCTTCTACGTTTTAAGTTACATTTTTATATGCCCACTTCTTTCTATGTGGATGTATATTGTCGGCACCCCTGTCTGTCCGTTGGTCTGTCGGACCGTCTATTGGTCCGTCCATCCGCCAACATTTGCTTGTAAACGCTTTAAAAACTAGATTTTTTGATGGAATCAAATGAAATTCGGTATGTGTATACATATTCATAAAATAAAGATCAAGTTCTAATTTGAGATATTTTCTACTGTTAGAAGCAGAGTTATTGCCCTTGTCCCAAAATCTTGAATATTTACCATCCGCATGCCGTGGTGGGCATATATGGCTGTGGTCCACCATCTTGATTGTTAGTTGAAGGGATTTTTAAAGAGGTTTTCTAAATTTGTTATGTGTATCAGAGACACTGATAGCATCAATTTGCACCATTTCATATTTCAAACAGACATCTGTTGTTCCCGCAATTCCAAACACTTTTCATGACATCACTAATTGCAAAATGTGCTTATATTTTGTAAGGTCCTTCATGATTAGTGACGTCATTAAACACTTCATTTTAGAGCAATTTCAGGAAAGATTGTAAATCTTACATCAATTAATGACTATTTTATATTGTAGAGGAGGCGTATAATCTAGATGATAAAGTATGGGATATGAACGTATTAACAGGAGCATTGAAGTTATTTTTCCGTGAACTGAAGGAGCCATTAATACCACCAGATTATTTTGAAAGCTTTGCAGCAGCAGTTTGTAAGTTTGTGTTCAAAAATTTAGGCTTGGATTTGTCACTCGTGGCAGCAGTACATTAGTCTATTCTGGTTAAGCTGAAGACACATACATGTGGGTGCGATGCCTGCGTTTCTGTAAACTAGTGCGATTATGCGGTACCGTTGCAGCAGGTATGACACATACGCGCAGTTCACTTTTGCGTTAAATTTGGAGTTATAGCAACGCACCGCAACAGCATGTATGTGTCATGTCAAATGCATACCCTTGTTTGCTTTGATCCGGTGAAACACTGCGGTGAAATGAACGCATCGCAACGCCGCTTTATATGGAAATTGAAAGTAGTTTCTACCCACAATGCATATTTTTATCTGTTAATCCCTTCGCCTTGTTGAAAAGTTAGTTGCAATTCATATTAATTTTTCAATCTTAAAACACCATCAAATTTATATTGCTATTGATATTACACACCAAAATTTGGAATGTTACAATGGGACCAGTTCAGTGCAAAAGCATTAATCCCTTTAATGTGTCATCAATATTAAAGGAATACTACCTCTTAGAAAGGACATAAAATTTAAATTCTCAAACTTGGTCAATAAGTGTATATATTCATCAGGTACCATGACTAAAAAATAGAATCTCTATATAAAAAAATAATAATTATTGAAAAACACCTGTAAGCATGTTTCAAAATTACTTAGTTTTATAGATTTATTTATTATTCATTTTGGCCAATTTTAAAATTTCAATTTTTTGGCCATCAGAAGTAGTATATATCTTTAATAACTAGTCCAAATTTTTCCGTATAAATATTTTTTAAACATGAAATGAAACTGTGATATTTCAGGTAAAGAGTCATATAAAGAGAAATTAAAAAATATAAAAGACATTCTACCAGATCTACCCAAGTGTAACTATGAAACGATGAAATTTCTTTTTCAACATTTAACAATGTAAGTAATATTTATGATTGTGGATATTCACTCTGCAACAGTACAAAAATGGGCATTAAAAAACCTGGCCATCCCTACCAGGGATGTTGATTTGGCTCTATATGCCGGACATGACCGACAGGGCTGCTGAAATGACTGACGGTCAATATCCTCTATCGGACATCAAGTTTAGGTTAGCCATTACATGGCTTTCAATGTCGGTCAAATGCAAAATTTAATGACAACTCTAGTCTAATGAAGTATAAAGCCATTAATTACTGCTAGATATTACAATAACTTGATTACCAACCCGATAATCTGATAATCCCTTAATTACCTGTTATAAGTGTTAAATTAATCATCAATTCAAATAACCCTAACAAAGTCACTTAATATCATTCTTCACAATCAAAATGGCTTCACGCTTTAAAAAAAAACAAAATTACTAGCACTCTTATCGTGTCTTATCTTATCTCTACCTTTGTTAGCAGCCATAGAGAACACGCAACGTGACGGTGCAAATAGCCAGTGCAAATTTTCATATCTTAGTCTTAGTCTGGGAGGAAGGGGTTGGAGGAGAGGAGCATTAAAGACACAAAAATATAGATGCAGGAATGATGATGACAGTCCTAGTCATTTAAGCTGCCCTGTCAGTCATGTCAGGCAAATAGTGCCAAATCAACAGCCTAATGACGACTTCTGCTACATATCGATGAAGATATATCCAGGCTATCTTTCGTCATAGCTATACATAGAAAAAGAGAGACTGGATGATAGAGGCTATTAAATCAGTGCACACTCTCATTTAATTTCAATTCAACTCTTTCCACTTTTCTTTCTTCTAGGGTAATTAAAGAGTCGAAAAAGAATCGAATGCAAGCTCATAATCTTGCCATAGTGTTCGGACCTACATTGTCATGGAAAGATGATGCAGACGCATCCAATATGGCAGTTATGACTGTGTATCAAAGTCGTATTGTGGAATTCATGCTAATGGAATTTGAAAATTTATTTAAATGATTTAAAGGACATGTACAGATTTATTTTATTCCAATTTGTGAGAATTTCAATGCCAATTAAAGGTATAGATTGGTTTATAAAAAAAATGCCAAATTTTGTGTTTTGGGTCGTGTGTGAAAGTGACTTCTGCCCTAGTTCTGACTGCAGAAAGCATTACAAAGCTATTTTGTTTTAATTATTTATGTGCCTTATTCGCAAATTCAGTGACACAGTGATTGGTTCTGTTTGAATGATGGATGTGATAGTCTAGGATATGGAAAACTAATGTTTTGGATATGGTTCCATCATCAGTACAGTTCATTTAGGAAAAGAGGTACAGATGGTTTAGCTGAAGCAGGAGTGAAATAGCTCACTGAAAAAGGAAGCCAATTTAACATTAACCTAACAAAAATAATAAAAAAAAATTAGCATCTCAAGGAACCTGTAAACTAATTCATCCTTGGCCAAACCACTTGGTAATGATTTTATAAGGATAACAACTTGGGTTCTGAGATACAAAGTTAACACTAATTGGTCCTTCCTGTCCTTTTTTGGCATTGATCTTTCCTGGATTATCTGTACCCATTTACAATTAGATTAAAATGAAAAAAGGTGAACAAAGTTATATGATTTAGTTTTGTCTTAATTAAGGTTTACAGTCTTCTAAATGTAAGAGTCTTGAGTTCAAAGTTCAGAGTGCAACAAAAAATGGTCAAAGGTCAAACCCGATGAACTTCTAAGTACAACTAATGCGTCTGTTTGGTCTTGATTTTGTGTCACACTTTTATATGTTGCTTTATGCTTGTCTTCTGTCACAATTTACTTTGATGTTTCTTGCCTTCCAGTGTCACGTGACTTGATGTCACATGATACTTAGCTGTGGAAAAAAATGTGTGATCTCTAGGTCATATTAAAACGATAATCACAAACAGTCTTTTTTTTTAAAGGGACAGGTTCGCCAAATATTTAGATACGCTAAAAAGTAATAGAGTTCACAGCTCACCTCCTAAATTTTGTGTGTGCATCTAGAATTATCCACGTTAGAAAGTTAAAATGATTACTTGTCTTTTTTTGAGACTCTGTCATATCTATAAAAGACATATATACAAATAGAAATTCCTAGTTTGAGGTATTTTTGAAGGAATTATGCGATATTCGTACATTTCTAGTACTTCTGAAAACTATTTACATATATTCAAGATCAAAATCAACCTCTGAAAATGGCTAAAACCTGTTTCTTTTAAAGTGTTTTCAATTGTAATTGAAACATTTCATTTTAAACTTTCGCAAAATAAAGAAGACTGTTTATATTTTGAACCACCCCAAATATTTTCTGCCTGACTAAACATTGTTGTTATTGATATTTTTGTTTATTTGTTTGTTTGTGAAGTAAACAAGAGTGGCAGTGCTATACTTTCTGTGTTTTCAGATAATCTTTTCCTTAGTTTTTATTTGTGTCAGTGATGCAGATTTAAGAGGAGGAATTTTGAAGGCACCTCACTGTGCTCTTGGCTTATGAAGATGGGCAACACCATACAGTGTGCAATATGTGAAATTTTGTCTTCTTTTTTCAACTGAAGAGGGATTTTTACAAGTTTCATTTTGCATTGTTATTTTTTGTCCCATCTGAAGGCCTAGAATTCTTTTCCATATCAACCTTTCCGACCTGCATCACTGACAGGAGAAAACAAGGTGGATAACTCTGAAGGTATTTTCTTGTCAAATGATTGAATCGATCCCTGTAGCTCCCTTGTCCAGGCATGTAGGTCTAATGAGACTAAAACTTGGTGTGTGTAAAAGGTATTTTAAAGAGGTTTACTACATATTTTATGTGAATCGGGGACACATCATCAATTTACATCATTCCAATTTTCAATCATAAATCTGTGGTTCCTACAATTCCACTTAAACTAAGTGTTTGATGACATCACTTATCGCAAAATTGACTTACATAAGGCCCTTGCCTATTAATGATGTCATCAAACACTTGTTTTTAGTGGAATTTTAGGAATGTCTGATTGAAAATTGGAATGGTGGAAATTGGTGCTATCAGTGTTCCAGATACACATAAAAAATTTATAAAATCTCTTTACAATCCCTTTAAGAATGATGAAATTGTGAGAATCATTCCACTAGAAATATATTATTGTGTAAAGGGTTGATTTGACTGAATTTGCCAGTCATGTCTGCCAAGTACAAACTTAGCTGATTTGACTATGAAATTTATTTTCATATCTGAAATAATGTGCTGAAAATTGCATCTAAAATTTCATTTCAAAACGAAAATTATTAGCAAATTAAAATCGGACCTACACGCACATGACTGGCACTGAAAAATTCAAATCAAGAGCCCTGGAAATTAAAGATATTATAATGTTATATATGATCTAGAGAAATTTATTTAGTATAAGCTTATAGATAATTGTGTTCAAGGCCTCGTTTCTGAAAAAATCTCACGATAAATTTTGTTGAAAGTCTGATTTCTACCATGACAATTTTTATAATTAAAGATGGGTTCCCTTATTTTCATTTTTGATAATAAAAATGCTAATAATTATAAGAATAGAAAGTACAGGTGTTCTAATGACTTGGAAAAATACCAGTTTGTCTCACATGTCCATAATTAATTCATAATTAGCTAAATTAGAAGAAAATTATCAGTAGAATTCCAATGAGTGACCGATCAGGAAAGGTCAAAAAGTCTTTTTTTTTGCTTATCCAGACTGTGCATACATGGAAATTTATGATGGGTTAAAACTATTAATTATATATGCAACGAGAGCATGATGATATGATTAGGAATACATGATAAATCATTAGAAACACCAATTAATCAAATAGTTTGCTTAATTTGACTCTAAAATATAAGGAAACCCATCTTTAAGTTGGGAGATTTTTTTGAGAAATGTTGGCCAGATAATTTGTGATGTTAAAACTATAGTCAAATATTTATATTCATACCTTTACCTTAACTCGCTGTTAAACCTAGACCGAAACATCTGCCTCTATTTCAGCCTCTGATAGATATTTTAACAGTAATTGGCTGGAGTAGAGTCAGAAAACTAGGCCCTGTATTATGGGGAATTTCCACACCTTTAACATAATATCAAATTATCAAATTATCTTTATGATGACTGTAAATTAGTGTTGGGCATTATCGTAACTTTTGTTTTGTTAGTATCATGTGACCCTGTGACCCTTGAACTTTTGACTGTGTATATAGCTTTAAATGGCCGACGAGAGATCAGTTTCGTTAAAATAAACTTTGATGGGACCACAGACGTAACATCAATGGATAATGATGGTATGACTGAACTACAAAAATATCCATCTTTCCAAATATATTTGGGTTTGGCGGATCTCATTTAAAGAAATATGTCTAAAACCCTTCAGCGGTGTGGAAAATTCCCACCTCGGGCCTCGTTTTTCTGTCTCTTCACCAGCCACGACTGTCAAAATATCTTATCAGAGGCAGGAATAGAGGCAGATGCTTCAGACTATGTAAAACGATATGCTATGCCTATGTGATCACTGATCACTGGATATATTCTGACCAACACCAACCATGAGATTTTCCAATCGTACATATACAGTATCATATTGATAGAAAGAATGCATGTGTGGAAGATCTCACAAAAAAATTTAGGGATGTCAAATACATGACTGGCACACTATATCAAGCTTGAAGATGTCAAAATCCCTTTAGAAATAAATAGGGTCATGAAATTTGAGGGTTAGTGTTTATGTGAAGGACATTGCCCTACCCCTAAATCTTCCTCCCCCCCTCCTTCATGTTCCTTTACTGCTCTGCTAATCATGATATAGTCAGTATTATTAATATTATTATTATTATTATTATTCTACCCCTCTTACCTTACTTACATATTAGACTAATCTAAAAGATTTAAAATTGATTTTACCAGTTGAGAAAAACCTTAGATCATTGAACTAAGCTTTCCTCATTTAATTCTAGATGAACAATGTATCAATTTTTATCTTGAAAAGTGATATAGGTAGTTAAAATGATGTTCTGTTTGCTGGCAATTCAATTAATTAGAGGATTTTTGAAAAATAAATTGTATAAGCCTTATTTGTAATAAAAAAGCAGCATTGAATGTACATTCCAAATTTTGCAGAGATAGGGTCTTTAACATTAAGTTAAAGGGACAGATTCATCATGTTTGACCAATTGTACCTTAGTCTCAGAAATCACTGTTGAAATTTGAGTCTTCAAGTCCATGTGTGTCCAAAATTAACTGTGTTAAAATGTTAAAGTCTTTTCTAGAGACTGCCATATCTATAGAAATAGGAAAAGAAATTCCTCGTTTGAGGTATTTTTACAGGAATTATGCAATTTTTGTACATTTCAAGTACTTCTGAAGGAAATTTACATATATTCAAGACTCAAATCAACCAACAAAAATGGTGAATCTGTCCCTTTAATGCATGAGATAAACATATATATATATATATGTATAAAACTTATTAGCTATATACTAAGGTATTTTTTTTTGAATGGAACCACCGTTTCGGCCTTCATTACTCTTTTGAATTGTCCACCATTGATTGCAGGTGAAAACATTTTATTGTGATGAAACTAAGAATTATGAAGTTTTTAAAGTTTAACATATATTGTAATTATTTGTTATTTGCTATGAATATATTCTACCGGTAATCTTTATTGTATACAAGAACTTAAGGCAACCGCTGTGAAATAGGATATTCATCTAACATAGGGACTGATTGAACCACTGTTAAATAGGATATTCATCTAACATAGGGACTGATTGAACCACTGTTAAATAGGATATCTATTGCAAAAAAAAAAATTGATGGCAGTGGCTCATCTAACATAGGGACTGGTTGAACCAAGTCCATGAACCTTAAATACCAATTTTTTTTTTCAATTGCCCCAAATTATACAATCAAACTAAGCAACCAGCAATATATAAATTAGTGAAATAGCATTAACTACAGATTGAAGATATTTAAATCTTCCATTAACAGGCATTAAATTGATTTACAGAGAAATAAAAACCCGTGGAGGGCCACATCCCACTTAAGCCCAAGGCCCTCACCTAGTTGAGCCACCGTTTAACGGTGATTCTTGAATGATTATAGGAGTGTCCATTTCGTATTTTTGGCTTCAAGTCCCTGTGATTCAGCCAAAGAAATTATGTTTATATTAAAAAAATAACTTTATTTAAATCTTGGCCTGAATTCTAATTATAGTTCAGGTAAGAAACTAGCTACGGGTCTGAGCTGATCTCTAATCGAAACTCTTAACAACAACTCTGATTTTGGGGGAGCAAACACTACTTGGTAAAAAAAAAAAGACAGAGAGGGATTCGGACATCTTTGACGACAGTGCAATTATTTGTGATGGGGGTCCTAATCTTCTATCAAATTGCAACCTTTCTCCTTTATTTTCCTTCTTGCTCAGGAAGCTGTTAGTAGTAAACAAATTAATAGGAACGAGATGGCAAGTTCGGGAATTGGGTATCGGCTCACAGGCCCTTAGCTACAGGTGAAATGCACGCCCCCCATCCCCAACCTCCAACCATTGCTCCTCCGGATATTACTTGCTCCTCCAGACAATCTAGTCTGGCTACGGGCCTTGTAGCTCATGATACTATTCTCCGTACTGTAACCAGTGGTCAATATGTCTTTTGTGAATGGCGCCATACCGACTGTCCAGTCATGTTGTCTTATCACAGAATGTAAGCAATAACAGAGGTTCATATCCGACGGAAAGATCGTGTAGGTGGTGTGATATGTTCGTATGTCTCGGTCATCTTGGAGCGCTCTCGTAACCCCACAGCACGTGCATTTCAATCGACATCAATACCACGTGACTTCACACGTGTTACCCTGTCCGTAGATAACAAGTATAGTATACGTTGGTGTTTAGTTTAGAGATGTTCAGCATTTGCCCTCAAATCTGTGTTTAAATTATCCAAGCCGTTACTTTGTAAACTCATTCGTTCAAGACACAAGAAAGCAAGTTGCCAAGGTAAGAATTTTAACTCCTCTGAGTAAATTTAAGTTTGTCATATTCCACAAGTGAAAATATTTTGTTTTAGTAATTCCTAATTATTCAAAGCAAAATATATTCTTCCAAAATGGTAAAATATACCATATAAGGAATTAGGCTAGTTTAGCACATTTCTAACACTATTTACATATATTCAAGACGACTAAAATCCCCCCCCCCCGATATTAAAGGTAAGGATGACACGTGCTTTGACTAATTATCAAAATAAACAATTACTCACTAATCCAATTAAAAAATCGTTGTCAATAGTTGTAATGGTTGAACATTACTCCATTGAAATTTAAAAAAAAGCTTTTGCGGAAAGACATGTAGGCTTACCAATAACAATACACCGACAACTCCTATAACCCGGCATTTTCTACTGGATAGATAGATTTCTGAGGTAAGATAACTCTAAAGGGACAGTAGCCTACTCTGCACATAAATCCGAATATCCATTACCGTGTAAATTTTGTAGCATACAGACCTTTGGCAGGGGCTGAACCAAAGGGGGGGCAGCTGCCGAAGGAAAGTTTTTCGCGCAAAAATCTCTTAACTAGGTTAGAAATTCGGGCAACCCCAGATATTTCACTGCGTTGAAAAATCTGCAGGTATCATCTTGACCCATACATGAATTGAGCTGGACATTCAGGTTTAATATCATGTATGCATTAAAATCTCTGGGCCATCTTGCCTAATTGCAGAGGGAGGGGTGAGGTCCATAAGTGAACAATATCATTAAATTGTTTATTTAGATTATATTTAAATATTTTCCTCAATTGCTTGTCATGTGAAGAAATAACTAAATAATAAGAACTGTGAGATTTTCTGCCATTGTACACAAATTTTTAGGTTTTGGTTTTCCCTCAATTTCTTTGTCAATAGTATCAGTTTTTACTTGACCATAATACAACTTTACAATTGTAGCCTGGATGTAAAGGGTAGATCATCTATTTGACACCCCTCAACTTTCTAGTGAACTCTTCTCCACATGCATTATCTGTGTACAAATGTATGACTGGAAGGGTTCATTTGAAAAATTAGGGGTAATTATATCCAGCCTTATGTAACTTGACTCTAAATGTTCAACAAATGTCTGATTTTGCGTCCAACACAACTTTAAGTCCCATTGCAGCCATTTCTGCTACTAAAACTTGAAAGACGTAAGGCACTGCTATAACTTGTACTGGTTCAGTTTTTTTACACAAAGAACACGTCCATTTATTTTGGTTGTTAAACAACATCCCTGAGATGTTTTTAGGCTTCTCTAGAACTGGAGATAATAAACTTTTACATTCTACACACATTTTGGCCTACAAAAGAAAAAAGGTGAAATGAATTTTAGGACATCAATGTTGGATCCTTGCCTATATTTTATAAGTAAACTCTTTTTAAGTCAAACTTGTTGAAAACTTAAAGGGATTGTAAAGAGGTTTTCTGAATTTTTCATGTGTATTGGGGACACTGATAGCATCAATTTGCACCATTCTAATTTTCAATCAGATGTCTGTGGTTTCTGCAATTCCACTAAAACTAAGTGTTTGATGACGTCACTAATCGCGAAATATGCTTTATCACATAAGGTCCTTCGCTCTACAACTGATGCAATGGACACTATTTTAACAGTGAAAATATTAAGTTATGTTATTAAGACGTTTAGGTTGCTGTTAAGTAATGTTACAAAAGTACAGGCACAGGCATCTAACATTAGGGTGATGCGAGTGTAAAGAAGTATTTTTTCAATCTTGGACCTACTTACAAGAGATTTATCAGAACAATTAAATAATCGGTCGTGTAATAAAAATGGTGTTCCGTGAGCTATTAAAGCATCCCTCTCCATCTCCCCAAATCTCACACCCCCAGCTTTCTTACGTCCCTTCACTGGTTGGTGGGTCAAAACATCTACTGGTCCAGTTGACCGCACCTACAAACATACAAATCAACAAATGATGAATTGATTTTGAGCTTTACATGCTAATTTTCTGCACTTCACATGGACGATATAGGCAAAGTGCACTTTGGAAAAATTTACAGGCCAACAGCGTTAACCATACTTTTGGTCAATTTCCAACTGTCAAGGGATCTTTGATATGGGCAGGCAAGAAACAAAAAGGTGTATTCCTAGAAGCAATAGACACTGAACACACCTTTTGTTTGAGCCATTGGCAGATGGTGTCATCAAACTGATGATTGTTTAAGAGGCCCGTCTTTAGACCCTAACAGAAGTGGCTAAATTAAAAATAAAAGTTAATAAAATATATGAAAGTTTGGTTTAATTTTAAAATTGTCATGGAAAACAAACCTGGAATTTATCAGAGACCATGTGACGTAAACGTTGATAATAAACAATACCGAAAAATATATCTACTTCTAGTTCTCTACCATCAGTACCAGAATATAACCTTTCTGTACCATAGTAATTATACCCAGCTGTTATTATATATAGAAAATAAAAATTAAATGATGTTTTAATCTCTGATTTGCCTCAACCTCCCCCTCTCTCCCCCCCCCCCTCATAAAATTTTAGATATATGATTGACCTTCTTGAGTACTATAGTTAAAGGGATTGTAAAGTGGTTTTCTAAATATTTTATGTATATCAGGGACACTGATAGCATCAATTTGCGCCATTCCAATTTTCATTCCGACATCTGTGATTCCTGCAATTCCACTAAAGCTAACTTTTATGACGTCACTAGAGGGGAGATATCTATGGAATGGCGCAAATTGATGCTATTAGTGTCCCCAATACACATAAAAGTTTTAGAAAATCCTGTTTACAATCCCTTTAAGCCCCACTTCAAACTATTTGCACATGATGCCAAGATGGCAATAGCTCCAACCTGTTCCTTCGGTGCAAAGTTTTAGATGGAATGATGGACCAGTTTAGCAATCTTGAACAAGCTGCACATCTAACAGCAGCAAGTAGTTTCATCTCAACTTAGACAGACAGGGGCAATAACTCTGAATTTTATTTACATAATCACAAGGAAGCACTCAATACCTATTTTGGCTTTCAATATTCAAATTTTTTGTGTTTTTTTTATGAAAAATAAATGTGTGGGATAGTTTGGCTGCCAAATGGTCGTTCAAAATTTAGCAAGAGGAAAAACAGCCTTTTGTATCGAGGGATTAGGTATCAAAAATGACTCATCACCCTTGAAGGACTCGAGAATCTTCTACTGTTCTTACCTTTAGTTAACATGAGACCGAAATGATCAATGGCTGGTTCCTCCTCGGAGAAAGTAAAAGGTGTAGCATCATGACATAAACCATGTGAAGCAGCTGATTTACCAGCCATACTTTCTATCATCATTCCTGTAATAAATACGTTCATTTCCAAAAACAAATCTTAATATCAAATGATGTCATTAGTAAAAATATTTTTCACAAAAACAAGTCAAGGGATTTTAATTTTGTTCACACTCTAGTAACGAATGTTAACTGTTATATATTAAAGATGGGTTCCCTTATTTTCATCTATGAAAATGAAAAATGCTAATATTATATGAATAGTGAGGTGTTCTAATGACTTGGAAAAATACCAGTTTGTCTCACATGTCCATAATTAATTCATAATAAGCTAAATTAGAAGAGAATTACCAGCAGAATTCCAATGAGTGACCGATCAAGAAAGGTCAAAAAGTCTTTTTTTTTGTTTATCCAGATTATACATACAGGGACATTAATTTATGATTGGTTAAAACTCTTAATTATATGCAATAAGAACATAATGATATGATTAAGAATACATGATAATTCATTATAAACACCAATTAATGAAATAGTTTGCTTCATTTGAAACTAAAAAATAAGGAAACCCATCTTTAAAAACGCATTTTATAATTCATATATTTATTCAGCCGTATGTCTTCTGGGGATAACACTTGAGGTGACAATAATAGAAGATGAGCTCATGCTCATGCATGTGCTATGAATATTCATACATGTTAACAACGAAGTTGCTTAACCATTGCCTTAATATATCTCATTTTTCCTTGATTTAAAGATTTCGAAGTGCTATAAATCAGCCAACATGGTCAATATAGTTGACTCCTGACTCTTTTCAGCCTATTTCATTTACTCTCCAGTCTGGATCTACAATAGCAAAATATTATCGAATCTAGAGAAGGACAGCATGTGAAAGAAACACATTGACAAGTTGACTTTTACCTATAGTCATTCTGGAGGGAAAGCCATGAGGATTGAAGATAATATCTGGTGTCATTCCAGTTTCTGTAAATGGCATATCTTCTACTGGCCACATCATACTGTAAATATATTAATGTATCATTTTGTATCTTTGCTGGCCACAATCGACTTTTTGATTAATTTTTGAGACTAATTCATTGCTTAAATTTTTTAAATTTTTTGGCCAGCCTTTATCTGAATCTTTGTAAGCTAAATATTGTCCAATCAAACTCGTTCCTGAAATCTTCATGGTAAGATCTTAGCCAATCAAATCAATCGTTCCAGACGCTTTGTTCCTGAACGTATGCAAAACAAAAGCAGAAAGTCACTAAATGTTTTGATTAATATGAACGATACAGAATTGAGTAAGATTTTCGGTACTTTGTTTTGCTTACATGACCTTCACCCCTTCATCATTTCTGTTCTCCCTCTACTTCGATCTGATTGGTCAGATTTAAATAGCACTAATCTCATATCCACGCCCACAAAGCCAAGTGTAGTGGGCTTGGTTTAATACGGGTTAATAAGACCACGTTAAAACCTGTATTCTTGATACAATGATTATATTACATACCTACAAATACCCTTCTGACCATGTCTACTGGAAAACTTATCTCCAATAATAGGATTTCTCTGAAATATAAATTAATAGTCATGTTAACAGATGGTGGGAAGCATGCCCTTTCTAGCACCCAACACCCAACAGCAGGCTCCTTTGGTTTATGAGTGATTTCTTTACCCTTTTTGCAAGGGTAAAGCATTAATAATTCTAGAAGCACTAGCCCATTCAGAGTGCTATCAGGTGTTCAGAGATGAAATGAAATGAATGGAGTTTTACATCCTACGTTTCTGCACCATGTTGGCTAATGAAGATTGGCAACGTCATGCAGGGTGTAACGAGGAAAAATTTGCCAGGACAATGGCATTAGCTTTCTCTTTTCTATTGCCAACGGTCAAGGGATCTTTAACTTGCACAGTCCTTCCTTGCTAGCAGCAGGGGATATGTGTCCCCAACTGATTCTCGTGTTTGAGTGGCTTCAAATATTCTGAAAGGGTGGGCATGCCTTGGAAAAAAAGAAAAAAAAGAAAGAAGCAACTATATTTTACAAGAATAACAACTTAGGTTCACAGTTAAGGATCCTTTCAACCGGCTGGTCCTTGGTTAAACCTCTTGGCATTGATCTTTCCTGGATTATCCATACCCATTTACAGCTGGGTCGACTGGATTTATGAGTGAAGATGACTTATACATGGTCATCAGACTTTTACATGCTGATCGAGATAGGAAACCACAGTAGCCATTTGCTCAATGTAACCAAGTAAATGACGTCATGTAAAGCACCAACGCTCTCACTGACTGTGCTATAGAACCTTGCAAGATAAACTTACCGGTATACGAAGAACTATGGCAATTTTCTGTAATTCCATTTTACCATCATCATCACCTAGTAACTTTATTTGTTCTATATATGCTGACTCTTCGTTTTTATAATAGATAACTTTTGTATCACCCGTCTGGAGGTTAACATAGCTGAAAATTTTAACAGATATATAAGCTGCTGAAAATTATAACAGATATATAAGCTGCTGAAAATCATAACAGAAATAAGCTGCTGAAAATCATAACAGAAATAAGCTGCTGAAAAATATAACAGAAATAAGCTGCTGAAAAATATAACAGAAATATAAGCTGCTGAAAAATATAACTGATATATAAGCTGCTGAAAAATATAACTGATATATAAGCTGCTGAAAAATATAACAGGAATAAGCTGCTGAAAAATATAACAGAAATAAGCTGCTGAAAAATATAACAGAAATAAGCTGCTGAAAAATATAACAGAAATAAGCTGCTGAAAAATATAACAGAAATAAGCTGCTGAAAAATATAACAGAAATAAGCTGCTGAAAAATATAACAGAAATAAGCTGCTGAAAAATATAACAGAAATAAGCTGCTGAAAAATATAACAGAAATATAAGCTGCTGAAAAATATAACAGAAATATAAGCAGTTGAAAAATATAACTGATATATAAGCTGTTGAAAAATATAACTAATATATAAGCTGCTGAAAAATATAACAGAAATAAGCTGCTGAAAAATATAACAGAAATAAGCTGCTGAAAAATATAACAGAAATATAAGCTGCTGAAAAATATAACAGAAATAAGCTGCTGAAAATTAAAACAGATATATAAGCTGTTGAAAAATATAACTAATATATAAGCTGCTGAAAAATATAACAGAAATATAAGCTGCTGAAAAATATAACAGAAATAAGCTGCTGAAAAATATAACAGAAATAAGCTGCTGAAAAATATAACAGAAATAAGCTGCTGAAAAATATAACAGAAATAAGCTGCTGAAAAATATAACAGAAATAAGCTGCTGAAAAATATAACAGAAATAAGCTGCTGAAAATTAAAACAGATATATAAGCTGCCGAAAAATAAAACAGAAATAAGCTGCTGAAAAATATAACTGATATATAAGCTGCTGAAAAATATAACAGAAATAAGCTGCTGAAAATTAAAACAGATATATAAGCTGCCGAAAAATAAAACAGAAATAAGCTGCTGAAAAATATTAAAGATATATAAGCTGCTGAAAAATATAACAGAAATAAGCTGCTGAAAAATATAACAGAAATAAGCTGCTGAAAATTAAAACAGATATATAAGCTGCCGAAAAATAAAACAGAAATAAGCTGCTGAAAATTAAAACAGATATATAAGCTGCCGAAAAATAAAACAGAAATAAGCTGCTGAAAAATATTAAAGATATATAAGCTGCCAAAAAATAAAACAGAAATAAGCTGCTGAAAAATATAACTGATATATAAGCTGCTGAAAAATATAACAGAAATAAGCTGCTGAAAAATATAACAGAAATAAGCTGCTGAAAAATATAACAGAAATATAAGCTGCTGAAAAATATAACAGAAATAAGCTGCTGAAAAATATTACAGATATATAAGCTGCTGAAAAATATAACAGAAATAAGCTGCTGAAAAATATAACAGAAATATAAGCTGCTGAAAAATATAACACATATATAAGCTGCTGAAAAAACAGAAATATTAGAATAAGAAACATTAACACTTCAGAGAGCTGTATAAGTTTTTGTAACCTTGGCAAAGCAAAATGTTTCATCACCTCTACAAGGATGGAAAACTTCTGCCCTTGACAATGGCTCAACTATCATAGGGACTAAAGGAGTCCCCACCTGCATTAAATTGACTTACAGAGTGGTCTAAGAATACAGAAGAACATTTGTTAAAAACAAATTCCTTGGGGAAATTCCAACACAAGTCCACGGGCCCCGACTCATCCAGATGAGTCACTGGCCCTTGAGGAATAACAGACAAATTTGGGCGTAAGGATTGGATGATGGTAATATTTCTAAAGATCTAAAGATTTGCTAACACATTAAAGATACTGACCTGTAATATATATCTCCTTGATGTAATAATCTACCAATATACGGTAAACCATCAACATCTAATCCTTCTATTTCATTATTTTCATTACCTGAAATACAAAATACACTCTACAATCTACCCTTCTGTTCCTTATATAACATGCATCTATTTGCACCATTCCAATTTTCAATCAGATGTCTGTGGTTCCTGCAATTCCACTAATCACCAGATATGGAGGCAAATAAACACCAGACATGGAGGCAGATAAACACCAGGCATAGAGGCAAATAAACATCAGGCATAGAGGCAGATAAACACCAGGCATAGAGGGAAATAAACACCAGGCACAGAGGCAGATAAACACCACCAGGCATAGAGGCAGATAAACACCAGACAGGAAGGCAGATAAACACCAGACATGAAGGCAGATAAACACCAGACATGAAGGCAGATAAACACCAGACATGAAGGCAGATTATCACCAGGCATAGAGGCAAATAATTACCAGACATGAAGGCAGAAAAACACCAGACATGGACGCAGAAAAACACCACACATGGAGGCAGAAAAACACCAGACATGGAGGCAGATAAACACCAGACATAGAGACCTCGATGGATTTAAATTATCGGTTAAAAATTTAGAATATGTAACTTACTGAACACCAGACTGACTCTCTGTCCTGATTCTTTTACAATATCTTGTAGATCTATAGTCTAAAATATAACAGACATTTTATTACCTGACATTTAATTACCAGACATTTTAGTATCAGACAATTTATATTATCAGACAATTTATATTATCAGACATTTTAGTATCAGACATTTTAGTATCAGACAATTTATATTATCAGACATTTTAGTATCAGACATTTTATTTTCTGGACAATTTCGTATTAGACAATTTAGTATCTGACATTTTAGTATCTTACATTTTAGTATCTTGACAATTTAGTATCTTTACAATTTATTAGCAGACATTTTATTATCTGACAATTTAGTATCTTTACAATTTATTAGCAGACATTTTATTTTCTGGACAATTTCGTATTAGACAATTTAGTATCTGACATTTTAGTATCTTACAATTTAGTATCTTTACAATTTATTAGCAGACATTTTATTTTCTGGACAATTTCGTATTAGACAATTTAGTATCTGACATTTTAGTATCTTACATTTTAGTATCTTGACAATTTATTAGCAGACATTTTATTATCTGACAATTTAGTATCAGACATTTTATTTAATCAGACATTTTAGTATCAGACTTTTTATTAACTGACAATTTATTATCAGACATTTTATTATCAGACATTTTATTAACTGACAATTTATTATCAGACATTTTATTATCTGACAATTTAGTATCAGACATTTTAGTATCTGACAATTTAGTTTCAGACATTTTAGTATCTGACAATTTAGTTTCAGACATTTTAGTATCAGACATTTTTATCATCTGACATTTTAGTATCAGACATTCTATCTTACAATATAGTATGATTACCTGGTAATATTATTGATGATACCCATAGTTGTAAGGAGCTGTAGACATCCCCAATTGACTTGTTTTATGATTGGTCAAAATGATTTTGTGCAAAAACTACATTGTTATTGGTATTACTCAATTGTAATATATGTAATATTTTTGTACTTGTTTTACATAATGTTGTTTAACACGTAGTGTGTCTACTGTCTAAGTCCTCACCTCTGTTTTATGGACTGAGCCGTGTCCAAATCCTCTTTCAAACGAACTCTTATTGATTACCATAGCATCTTCCATATCATAACCCTGAATAATAATCATCAGTTAAATACAGTTATTGATAATAATGGCCAGTTCAGACTTCCATAGTTCCTGTTAAATTGTGTTTTCATTCTAAAAAAGGTGATGCTGGCAACTGAAATTGAGCTCTATCAGTTGCTGAAGTAAATATTCAGATGACTTTACATACAGCTGAAATTGAGCTCTCTCAGTTTCTGAAGTAAATATGGAGATAATATACCAATAGCTGAATTTGAGCTCAATCAGATGTAAAGGCAAATATTTAGACTGAAATTGAGCTCTCTCGGTAGCTGAAGTAAATATTTCAAATGACTTTACAGATAGCTGAAATTGAGTTCTCTCAGCTGGATTTCAAATATTTAGATGACTATACAGATAGCTGAAATTGAGCTCTATCAACTGGAAAGGCAACATTTAAACAACTAAACATATATCTGAAATTGAGCTCTATCAGCTTTTGCAGCAAATATGTAGCTCTCATGTCAAATTGCCATGCTCATTCTTAGAGTGATATCAAGTGATCTGGTAATGATCAGAGTAACTTACTGTGTATGATATGACCGCTACTACAGCATTAGTTCCTATAGGGTATTCATCCATATTATAATCATCATATACTGCTGGGCGTACCATGGCAGATTGTGGTGTCTGCAGTCTGTATAATTTATTATCGGCACGGAAACGGTAGGCATGTAGAGGTGTTCCCAATGTCTGTTTACCCATCTGAAAATAAAGTAAATAGCATGCAGTTTAACTTCCTTCATTTTTGCACTTTACTAGCCATGGGTTCGCTCAATTGGTGACTTTTTGAACTTTCAGAATTTCATGGAATAAACATGTCATTCAATAAAACAGGGTTCAGAACGCATTCCAAATGTGCTAAAAAAATATTAAGTACAGACAAAATTCAAAATGGCGGACACATTGGCTTGCCTACCATTCCAATTGAGGACAGAATTGGAACACACAGAATCTGTTCAGAACTCTCCAACTGAGGGCAACCCCTGTTTCTCAAAATATATTCAAAAAAAAAATTGTAGTTATGACAAAAACTTAGAAACAGAACTTTAAAATATTGCCATGACAACAACATATTAATACTGTCAATGGCTCTTTAACCTAAACAGCCTATAGCATACAATGTCTCAGTTCATTGTTCAATTGTTCAACTTCTGACATTGTTGATCAGTCATGTAATGATAAATATTTTGACGTAACAAGATGTGCGGATGTTCCAATAGCAAAATTCTTACCTGACATTGGTACATGTTACGTGGACTCTGGTTAAAATCAGAGTAGGGGGTTAAACTAGCTATAACACTTAACATAGTCTGTTCATTAATTTCTTCATGGGTTGTTATCTAAAAAAACAAAATTAAACATCAAAATTTCATCTTGTGATATATTTCATCTTTTTCAAGAGCCTAAAAATAGTGCGTGCAAACAGAATTCAAAATGGCCGAGAAGGAAACAGATGGGAAAATTTTGAATGTGACATTCCGTTCTATTGAGGGTAGAATTTGAACAGACTGAACCTGTTCAGAACTCTCCAATCGAGTGCCACCAAAATTCAGATGCTGCAGAATAGCTCCCTAGACAGCAGATGACAAAATTAATTTGAATGAAATATCATTTCCCAATTTTGATTTTCTATGTTATGCAGAAGTTCTCTTTTCTGATGATGGTTTTGTAACTATGTGTTTCACAAACAAGGGTATCTTGCTGATCCAATATGGCTTCCTTCCAAAAAAAAACAGCAGACGACATTGTAATATGTTATAGTAATGAACTCACCCCCTCATGAGCTTCTGAAGCTGTGACACAAATATTCAAATACACCTGTTCAAACGTACTTATCATTTCTACTGCATCATGGGATAGGTTAATAACGGGGCGTATCATACGAGCTACATTGGAAAATAAATACACCCCAGGAAATTGACTAGCATAGTCACTCTTTGGTACCAAACATATTTCTAATGTTCTTGGAACCTAAATGAAAAAAAAAAACAGCTCATTTTCAAAACCTTCATCTTTTCTTAGTGCACGATTCATAATGACTAGCATAAAAATCCTTATATGCCAAAAAAATCTAGACATGGCACAATAAATGGAGAGTCAAGGGGAATAACTCCTAATCTAGGTAATGATTCTTTTACTAGAAAAAAATTTGAATGCCAGAGCTTCATTATGAATTTAGACGAGCCTCTTTCCCATCTTTTATAAATTTCTCTTACTTTTTCTTGTTGTAAAGTTTTAAATGCACGTAACGTATCTGTAAAAAGTTCAGCCCGTTCAAAATGAATATATCCCATAATGCATCCATCTAATACCACACTATAGTAGTCTTTACCAGAAAGGATTAAGGGAGAGTCAAGGGGGATAACCCCTAATCTCAGTAATACATCTTTCATACCACTGGTATCGCTAGGTTCATTCTGTATCTGAAATGAACAAAATACAAAAAGATTTGAACTTCTGGAAAATTCTTTCAGAGTTTGTGCCTCTTTCTGTGTTTTCCCCTTTGCAAAAGTCATATTCAATAATGAATATTCCAGGTGGCACTCGATTGGTGAGTTCTGAACAGGTTCCGTCTGTTCCAATTCTGCCCTCAATCAGAAGGTGTATGCAAGCAGAATATGTCATTTTCAAAATTTTTCCATCTATTTCCTTTTTCACCATTTTGAATTCTGTCAGCTCCAACTGGTACTATTTTTTTTCAGCTCATGTAGAACTCGTTCTGAACTCTGTTCTAATTTGTTTTATTGAATGAACTCACCAATCAGACGCCCCCTGGATTCCTCATGAGCAACTGATTTTAAATTGAGGGGAGCATTTCATTGGCTGAACTCATTTCAGATCCAAAAATTTATGACTGGTTCTTTCAACTAGATGAGTGATATATCCCATACCAAAAAATAAACAAACTATATGCAGATGTTTCTGATATAAAATCTTTATCAGGAGGAGGTTAAGTTTCCACTATACATGTAGGAATTTAGGCATATGAGCTAAGAAAGGAGACTCATTGAAGGTGTAGTTATTAAGAAAGTGACTCATTAAAGATGTAATGTTATTAGATTGACCAGTGAAATTTAACAGAGATTGCTAATACTTACTGAACATTGAGCAGCTAGATGATTCATCAGACCACATGGTGTACCATCAGGAGTGTGAACAGGACAAAGAAAACCTGAAATGAAATGGAGTTTTACATTCCCTTTTCCGCTATAAATTGGGCTTATGATGGTGGTCAACAATATGGAGGGTGTGATGAAGAGATTTTATCGAGACATCAGCCTACTCTTTTTCAATTTCCAACAGTTGAAGGTTCTTTTATTGAAACATTTTTAATGAAACAAGAGGACTCACTCAACAGGAGCAAAGGCTGAATGAAGAATAGTCCAGCAACTTACCCCAAGCTTCTGGTCGAAGTTTTCTGACTGTGGTGGTCCTCATCTCAGTAAAGAAAGCTCCACGATGAACACAGCGGAAGTGAGAAATATATCGGAAGAAATTTAATTTATCTGCAACAACACTCAATCCTGCTTGCTGAAAAATTAGTTCAAATTCATTTTTTTAGAAAATCAAAAGGATAATTCAGTGTGCAATGAGGGACCTTTTGCCAGGACATTAACATTAACCTACTCTTTTTAGATTTCCAACCAGGGATCTTTAACTTGCACTGCCTTTAGTACATTGTGCCTTGGTTATTTGTCAAATTTCACCAGACTCTGTTTCCATGTCAGCGGAAATCAGAGGGAGCATCAGGGATGAAAAAATCTGAAGTATATCTCTGCCTATGTCAATATTCCACCTTGCTTAAGCAACAAAGAGTGACTGTATCTCACAGTGGAGAGCTGTTTCACTCACCTGCATCAGATTCAATCCAGAAGGAGAGCGAAGATTTCCCGTTGCTAGGAAGTAGTTCATTTGCTGCGTGATGTCACTGACTTTATTTAAACCAATCAGCAACTTTCCTGAAATCAAATTTAAAGCTTTCCATATTTCGATGAAATGTAATGAAGTGCTACAATCTACTTTTATTATCGAGCTGTTTTTTAAAACCAAATGAAGTTCCTGGCAGAAGGATAACTTCTTCTTCAGATATTAATGGAAAAGTCTAAAATAGCTTCATTGGCGTATATTTCCCCTTAAGAGAACGCTTCTTAGCCGGTTATTAAAGATCCAAGTAGAAAAGTAAAAAAACCTTACTGGAATCAAAGTTAAAGGTGATGCCACCCTGTCTAGACATCTTGTCTAATGTTAGTTTAGCACCTAGTAACCAACTCTCTAGTCTTTCCTAAAAATATAATCATGTCATTCCCCTTTAATCTTTCATATTGGAGGCGCTTGATTGGTGAGTCCTACACGTTCAGGATTTATCACAACAACTGGGTTTTCAATAAAACAGGTTCAGAACGTGTTCCATTTGTGCCAAAAAAAATAGCAGGTGCTATGGTGAGAAGGAAATAGATGGGAAAATTTTGAATGTGACATATCTACTTTCAGACTGTTCAATTGAAGGCAGAATTGGGACAGATTTATTATCTAAATCTGTCATCTGCTATGGATTGTGTGTCTCATTTCAGCAAGACAATCATAACCAGAAAAGTAGGATGTAAAACTCCATTCATTTCATTTCTTTCTTACCATGTTTCAAATATAGAGTCAATGGTCAGGAATGATGTTAAAGCCAACCTACCTTGAGAAATATTAAATATAAATGACCACTCAATAAGACTTCTTGGTTCATTGGATTATCAGGGCTCTCCTCCGCACATCCTCCCTTCGCAAACACAAATAACTTCTGAGTCATATATCTGGAACGCAAAACAGAAAAAAAAATACTTGAAACATTACTTCTAAAACCAAAACATAGTGGGGTCGCCTGATTGTTGAGTTCTGCACGTTCTGGATTCATGGAATCAACAGAACGTTAAATAAAACAAGTTAGAACAGAGCTCAGAACGTGTTCTACTTGTGCCGAAAAAATAGTAGGAGCAGAGAGAATTCAAAATGGTGGAGAAGGAATTAGAGTTTTACTATTAAATAAGAACTATAGAGAAGTTTAGCTAACACAGCAGATAAGTCTATCCTTTCTGGAACACTTTGGACCCAGGGGTAGGGGGATATTCAAGAATTTTCAGACCAAATTCAAATAAAAACTGAAAAATTTGTCTACTTACACTAAAAAGTTAAATTTATCTTGGTTGTTGTCTAAATGAACACAAATACAACGCCTACAAAAGAAAATATTAAATATTCAATTTAATTAATCTAGCTAACCATATTTTAAATCATGTTCCAAATCTGCACTTGCACAGCTGGTATAATCTGTCACCAGCAAACACACCCCAAATTTTAAGAATAAGCTCTTCCAATCTTACATAGAGTTTATATTGATAGAAAGAATGCATGTGTGGAATAGTTCACTAAAATGTTGAGGGGTGTCAAATAGAAGACTGGAACATACAAACATATCTTGCAATACTTTAACCACACAGCTGTGAGAGGATATAAGAATTGCAAACTTAATGATTCTACATAAAAGGACAGGTCAGCTAATCGTATTTTCGCGAACTTCATAATAATTGGAAAAATTACATGTTTAAGGGACAGATTCGCCATTTTTGGGCCATGCTTTTGGTCTTGAATATATGTAAATAGTCTTCAACAGTACTAGAAATGTACAAAAATCCTATGATTGCTTGAAAAATATCTCAAACTAGGAATTTCATTTTCTATTTCTATATGTCTTTTCTATTTAGTTTAAACATATTTTATTGGAAAATCAAAGGGATTGGATGCAAGTTTCAAGAACTTAGGAAAAATCCGCTCCACACCGTCTTTTCTATATATAACAATGTCTCAAGAAAAGATGAGTCATCTTTTTAACTTTCAAATGCAGATAATTCCTTTAAGCACGTGGATTTGAAGGCTCAAATTTTGACTGTGAACAGTGAACACTATTACTGATTGGCTTGGCTAAAAAGATTCCTGTTTCTGAAAAAGGAACGATTGATAAAACAGATGGTAAACCTGTTAGGGAATTGGTCGTTAAAACTTACTCTAGTAGAAATTCAGCAATTTCTGCGTTGGTAAACCATTCTGGAAGATTTAACTTGACTCTGAATTTTTCACCGATAAAATTTAACATGCTTTCTTTCGTGAATAGTCTCTCTTTTAAAGCTTCTCGTAACATGTTGACTATACATCTGAAATAACATCATGGACATTTTGTTTCATAGTTTTCATTTGCCTTCTCTTCTAATATATATAGGTCCAAATGCATCACCAAACGTCACTATTTTTTCATATCCTTTAGTGAACTTGGCGGTATAAACACTCATGTTGAATCCAGTTTGTCGTCTAGTTACATTAAATCAGAGATGCTCCCTTAGTTTCACTTTGCTGGCACTCGATTGGATAGTTCTGAACAGGTTCCATCTGTCCCAATTCTGAACAATATGAAAGCGGATATGTCACATTCAAAATTTTCCCATCTATTTCCTTTTCCGCCATTTTGAATTCTGTCTGAAACTACTATTTTTTCAACCCACATGGAAATTTGTTTCATTGGTTGATTTTCTTAGTAGTGATTATATCAACCAATCAGATTTCAGAATGTGCAGCCCTGACCAATCGAGCGTCCCCTTCATGTCTATGTCTGCTTGTGATCTAGAATGATTTATGTCACCTACCCTTTAAAATAAGTGTCGTCTTCGTAGCCACGGATCATTTCATTGTAAATATATTTATCAGATACTTCTAACAGGGCCTACAGTATATGAACATTAATAGAGTTTTATATCCTACAGTTCTGTACCTTATTGAATTAATAGCCCTTTAACACCGAACTGCGAACATTTGCAATCCTATGGCAACCAAAAATGTACATGGTTGCCAGAAAGCGTTAAGAAAATGCGAGAAAAAGATCCACTGAAACATATGCGACCAAATTGTGTTCCCAAAGCAAGTTTATATTAAAATCTATGGGCTGGGTTCATTAACTTATTTTGCATTCATAGAGAAGTAACAACACTTGTCTAAAGACATCTTTATTCCGTCTCAATGGCAATTATTGGCAACAATAGCTCCCACTGCACGATATCAAATGGAGTTTTACATCCTAATGTTCTGTATTTTATTGAACTAATGAAATAAAATGCAGTTTCGCATCTCACTTGATAGGGCATTAACTGAGCATGTGAAAAAAAAAATCTAAATCTGTATTCACACGAAAAATACCTTTAAAATAAATATGATTGGTACAAAAAATCTGTCTTTCTGGTGACCAAATTCCAACATGGCAGTTCCATTGGATAAATAATGTAAAATACATGTCTGAAAATGAAAAATAACACCAAAATAATAGCAAAAGTTACCAATAGCAGTATTATTAATACAGACCAAATAAGGGCTTTGAGATTTGATAATATAGTTATTTGAAGTGGTTAACATCCACTGTCTTATAAATAGTTTCCAACAATTTCAGTCAATTCAGTGAAAAAAATTTGTGATTCCATTCACTAACTTATAAAAAATGCGCACTTTTCTGGATTAGCGCCAAGAGTATCAATTCACTGATATATCGTGCCAGAACTAGATGTCAGGACTGACATTGGTTGAGATTATTTAAGATCACTGTTTAGCCAATCAGATTTCAGATGTCTGATTGATACTTCACTGTCATAATGGTGAGGCACGCCCAAAATATAAATTAAGTGCTTACCGATCCTGTTTGGTCATTTCTTACTGACCGAAGCTGTATACCATATTCTGTATAGAATGCTCCTCGTGATTTCCATCCATTTCTCTTTAAACACAATGGCTACAAAATATATGATTCCAAATTTACTTACTATGTGAACCCTATGAAATTCAAAGTAAACATTACTAGCTATGTAGACTCTCTGAAAGGAAAACCGAGTTGACAAACCAAAAAACCATATAAACGTTATTAGCCACGTAGACTCTCCAAAAGAGATATTAAGTTGACAAACCTGTTTGCGTAATTAGCTATGTGGACTCTCTGTAACAGATATTGCATTAACATATACAAAATATTTTAATACCCTTCTAACTAATTCAATACATAGACAGTTCTAGTCAGACATGACTGGTAAATACAGCTAAATTAACAACCCTGATATCAACTCACATAATTTCTTCTCTGCATAATCAACATTCTTACAACCTTCTCTTTTCCATTGACAATAAAATAACCACCCATCTCCTACAAATAGTCAGAATTAATTTATCAGAAGAGTTCATTCTTGTTATCTAATGAGCATTTAGGTAAGTATCAATTGTCAATGAACTGGATGGTTCATTGCAAACAGATGCCAAATTGCCAAATTAATTTCAGGGATACAGTAAATCTTGAGTAAAAAGTGCCTGTGTTGCTTTCTTCATTTACCCCTTCTCACAACGAAACAAGACATCCAATCAGATTCATTTCCTTTTCAATCACATGATCATCACATGATTTATTGACAAATCGGAAAACCACTGACTGTCCCAGAGATTATTTATACCTAGTGTGTCTGTAGCTGGTAGGTGAAACTCAGTCTGTGACAAAAATCGTTAACCCAAACCATTCCGGGTGACGGCTTGCATTGGATAGTTCCAAAAAGATGTGACTGCCCCTCATTGCTAATGACATCCATCACTCAAATTAGCTACAAGCTGGTAAGACAAATATGAAGTTAATTCTTTCCATACGAAACAAGATAGACCTACCTCCATCTCTTCACCATGTTTAACCAACTCTTTAGGAGGTAAACCATGAAGGTTACAGGCTTCAGACTACAATAAATACCAGCTACATTAAAGGGATTGTAAAGATGTTTTCTAAATTTGTTGTGTATCGGGGACACTGATAGCATCAATTTGCATCATTCCGATATTTAATCAGATGTCTGTGGTTCCTGCAATTCCACTAAAACTAAGTGTTTGATGTTGTCACTAATCTAGAGGGGCTTTATGTGATCAATCAAGTCATAGACAACGTGGACAATCCAAAATAGCTTTGACTCCCTACTAAACCATGATATGTATGCATCTTTTTTTTTACAGTGAAATATATCAACAAATGTTATTAGCTATGTGGACTCTACAGAATAATTAGTATCCTCACCTTCACCATGATGGGAATTTGTCCTATAATACGATCTAACTGACAGATCAATTTATCATTCATATAACAGTTGATAGAAACCTGTAGACTTCCTTTATACGTTGTTCCTTTCTCACGACACTGTAAATACAATAATAAAATATAATTCAGTCAGTTTGAATTAGAGATGTACTTGATAGGATCTGGGGGGCTCTTGATTGGTGAGTTCTGCATGTTCAGGATTCATGAAATTTACGTTCAATAAAACAAGTTAGAACAGAGTTCAGAACGCAATCCATATGTGCCGAATAAATAGTAGGTGCAGACTGAATTCAAAATGGCCGAAAAGAAAATAGATGGGAAAACTTGAATGTGACATATTCCAGAACTGTTCGATTCATGGCAGAGTTGGAACAGACGGAACCTGTTCAGATCTCGCCAATCGAGCGCTACCATGGTTTTCATTGAGAGATGGAAACTACCAACTTGGTGAGTCTTATCAAAGCCTAACAGAGAGCAATGCTTGAAAAGATTGACAGGAACTTGGAGAATTTGATACTCTGTCAATATCTTGATATGAGCATTTCTCCAGTATGATCTGATAAGTTTAAATGACCAGTTCACATAAAGGAATCAGGAATCGAACGTACCTCAGTGGGATAAACTCTCTGTGTTGTAACTCCAACATTGGTCTGGTTAACTCTCGGTGAGCGAATTATACCTCCCTGAAAAAAATGATTCATCACAACCTCTTAAAATTTATTTCTGTCTGTCTAATAAACTATGAAACTTTAAACATTTTGGCAGAAATTTTGGTCCATCAGTCAAAGTTGATAGTGGGAATTAGGGGTTTTGGGTGGCTGAATAAAAAATGGGTCAAATCACTTAATTTAAGTGGAATTGCAGGAACCACAGATGTCTGATTGAAAATTCAAATGGTGCAAATTGATGCTATCAGTGTTCCTGATACACATAAAAAAATTTAGAAAACCTTTTCACAATCCCTTTAAGTTGTAAATTTTGGGTATTGTGTAGATATCCTTGCAGTATAACAGCAGTCCCCTACATCACCAGGACCACAAATCAATGTTGAAGGAAACTTTACTTACAGTTATAGCCAAGGCCAGTCTTTCACCTGTTGATATACTAAACTCTATTGGTTTCAAATCCTACAACAAAAATACAGTACACTAACAATATACATGATCAATTGAGTACAGAAAAATTTTTTATCTGAAGCACTGGCCAGTGCATCGATATGCCTTACTTGAGTCTAATTGAAAGGAATTATAACAATAGTCCATACGTCCAGTTTTCAAAGAAAATCACAATAGTTAGAAGGCTGATGCTGGCAAAACTTTCTTCATTGCACACTGCATGGTCTGGGCTCCTCAGAAACGGTGGTGGACTTACCTTAATGGCGTTTCGCAATCCTTCGTGTAACATATAGTTAAACGATCCCACATGTGGTTTGGTGACATCTTGTAGTAGCTGAAAATGATTAAAAATTATCAGCTTGAAAATGGAGCTCTATAGTCATAAGCATGTTTTATTTTGTTTCTGTACTCCCTGATTTTCAAGGGAAAATGAAATGGTTCAAATAGAGGCAATGAGCATAAGGTAGAACAATTTTTAAAAATGTCATCCACATCTTTCAAGGCATAGCATAGCTGCAAAGCAAAGCCCATACCACACTCTCTGCCCTGGAGTCCTATGCCGCTCCTAAAATCTATTCATAAAAGATGATGGATATGACATGAATCGTTAACTAAGCGTGATCAACATGGAGCTCACAATTCGCAATTGCTAAACCGAAAGTAGAAATATTCAGATTTGCGATAACTAAAAAGAAATACTTTAAATCATCCTGATTACCGCATTTTGGTTTTCTTTTGGTTTCCCAAAGTGTTTATCAGTTAAATTTTTAAAACTTGGCTCTTTCCTTTGGGAATCAGAAGACATTTCAATCGTTGATCAACTCGTTTGTTTCCTTTAAGCCATGTGTTTTTCGTTACTTCCGGTAAAATGACAACAAACAAGCATTTCCTCCCTTTGGTCATATTTTAAAGATGTGTTCCTACCATTGAGAAATATTTTCTAATTGCATAAGACAGTGGACTAGTGTGAAAAAAGTTGCTGTTAGAGCATAATTCTAATTCATTTCTATGGGGCCAATTATAGCCTGATTATTGAGAGCTCATCTCATGCACGATTACGTTATTCTTATCGAACTTTAAGATTGTGGTAGACGCATAGAGTTATGAATAGTTATTATAGGCATATACATCTATGGGTAGACGCGTGTTTGCTAACCTGAGATAAATATTCTGAGTTTTCAACCCGGATTACGGTTATATAAAAGACGTTTTTCTAGTCTTTGTATGTGTATCAGCTTTTCTGTCTTTGTATGTATGTGTATTGGGTTTTCTAGTCTATGTATGTGTATTGGGTTTACTAATCTATGTATGTGTATTGGGTTTTCTAGTCTATGTATGTGTATTTGGGTTTTCTAGTCTATGTATGTGTTTTGGGTTTTCTAGTCTTTGTATGTGTATCAGCAGTGCTTACAGGGGCTCTCTCATTTTCTATCCTCTGTTTGTGTGTCGGGGACAGTTATAGCTAATATTTACATCACTATAATCTTTTAGTTCTTTGTTTGTATATCAGAAATATTTATAGCTTCTTTTCGCACCATTCAAGCCAAATGATATATAAGATAATGACGTCACAATTCTGTTAATTTTTTTTTTCTGGAATAACGGGAATCGCGCAATCGGAATGATACATATAGAAGCTATACACACTATTAGAAATTTCTTGTAATTTTTACGATAGAAAACTGCCAGTCAATATACAAGTATTATCAATGCACATACTTGTAAACTATGTAAACCTATTTTATGTCTTTCTTTAAGAATAGCGTACGGTGCCTGGTGCCCAGTGGCTCAATTAGAAGGCTTCCCCCTGGGAAATATTCTTTAAAAACAAGGAAACAATATTGCCCATGGTAGGGCCCCCGCATAAGTTGTGAACAATTTTTATAATTGTGTGTTAACCTGCTAGATACTTACTTTCGTACACTTAATTTTATTTTTCTTGGAGTGGGGCCCCTTTAGGGGTGGAGAACCGTGGACTTGTACAAACCAGTCCCTATGGTGGTTGAGCCAATGCCGGTACGGCGTGGGATTAGCTATACAGGAGAATAAAGAAAGTGGATGTAATGCGTCGCCACTCGTCTATTCGCAAAAGGTAAAACACAGAATATAGTGGGAAGACACACATTGGTTTTAATCAAATATAATTCTTATACATAATGTCATTTATATATTTCATTAAGTACATCAAATATATCTACATCATTGTTAATATTAAGTATAATAATTGCACATTAAAATATCACGATATAAGTATATAAGGCTATAATAGTACATGTAAAAGGTATGTTGTTATATAGTCCGTTTTTTTTTAAGGTCGGGGAACAGGCCAGGCGAGTAGCCAGACTTGATTGTTCGGGGTAGGGGGAGGGGGGGGGGGGGGGCAAGTAATATATCCAGAGGAGCAATGGTGTATGGTATTTAGTTGCAGAAATGGAATTGGTCGGTTGTAAGAATTTTCAGGAGGCAATCCCCCATGTAATATCATTATTGTACAAAAATAATGCTGAAATGTAATAAAGACTATTTCGGTATGATATCACCATACTACCAGTAACTTAAACAATGGTTGTTCGTACACATCGTTAGTTAACACTACGCTGAATACGTAAACGTTTTGACACATACGGCCTTTTCATTCAGCCCTTTGGGACTTATTTCCATAAATAACACAAAACCACACAATACCGCAGAATAACTGACATTTTTTAATGTTTTTGGCCGAGGTTCTGATTTAAACATGCGGTGTATTAACATCAAAGAGACCGGTCGTAGAATGAATCATTCCAAGCCCTTGCTCTAAAGCTGGTTCCGGCTGGAAATCAGCAAGGTCATCCGGCAGAGAGTAGACGCAACACTCCTGTGTACTGCTATCAACACCTGCCTGTCCGTAACCACTTCCGCTATTGCTATAATTAGTATCACACACAGAGGAAATATCGCAAGATCGTACAAACTGAGCTGTCATTGATCCGGTCGGGAAAGACGCTTCTCGACTCACTCCATACACAGGGCTGGTATTTCTTTGCAGGGCAAGGCAGTGAGTAGATAAAGGCACGGGAGGGTGGGGAACGGAATACTGATATGGTGAGAGTTGTGTCGACGTTATCTGACGCTGCTGGACACAATGCGGAGAATCCATTATGGCGGGAAAAGGGGAATAAGGGTCATGGTTCAACGGAGGCGGAAAACCAATCCCGTTTTCATACATAAAGGGGTAAGGCTTTTGGTAAGGCGACTCTGGAAGGAGTGTTCTTGGATTAAGCTGTAGGCAACCGGCAACCATGTTCATCGTGTTTTGAGACAGACCTTTAGACAACGACTTAGCAAACGACACGCTATCCGGACGGACACCATTTTTCAAAATGTCTGCCAAGGAAAAAATATAATTTCTAGCAAGGCGAAGAGTTTCTATCTTTGACAGTTTTTGTGTTTTGGAATAACAAGGCACGTGTCGGCGCAGGTCATCCAAGGCATGGTTTAACCCATGCATTCGACTTCTTTCTCGACTATTTGCCTTGTAACGTCTGATTTTTAATTTCGCCACTCTGGCTTTAGTCATTTTCTTTTTCTTCGGTCCACGTTTCTTTGGAACTTTGGGACCATCAGATAGTTCGTCGATTCGGCTTTTTCTGCCTTGGCCAGATTTTTTGCTTTTGTCCGATTTTTTCTCACAATCTCCAGTCGTCGAATCCGGTTGTTCATCCAAGTCGGAAAATTCTTCGTCATCTTCTTCATCCGAGGGAATATCAAGCTCGTCGAGGTCCACGTCCAAACTGAATTCGTCTTCTTTGATAGGCATCGTGATACTGAAAATAGAGAATAATATCATTATCAGGTGTCCTTTCAGTAACCCAATAAGGAAAAGAAAAAGAATGGGTGGGCGTAAAACTCATGTAATTATCAGTTTCTTGAAATGGTGTGAGTCAGGGGTGACTATTCGCACCTTCACTCTTAACCTTTTCTAACGATAAACTATTTTTTCACTAATTTGCTTATAAAAGATTGATCAAGAGAATACACGGACAACAGTATACCATTTCGTGTATTTATTTATATTTAATTTTTTGACATAAGAATTAACCTAAGACTGATACTTATTTTTTTTTTAATAAAAATAATGCCATGTGTCCCTTTTTCTTTCCGCTTTTGAAAATGGATGGTTATTTTTTCTATGAATAGCAGGAATGATTGGTATTAGTTAATCATGAACCTATTGTTTAGAAACATGGACAGATGGGCCAGTCGCTTAATAGCAGGGCTCGGCTCGCTTCGTTACATTTTCATAATAACGCCACCAAATTCTTATTGGCCTTCGCTGTAATCAAATGACAAGCGGAGCTCTCGATAAATGACGAGATTTGACGTGACTTAATTAGTTAATAATTACAGGAATAGTAGTCCCGATTACCCAGCGACTAGGGACTAATCAATGTTTTTAGTTAACATACGTCTGGGTGATCTCGACTATTAATTTGTCACTTAATTTGTTGCACTAATCCACTTTAATTTCCCACTGCAAAATATTTCATCAAATACTGAGGCATTTTATGAAATATTTTTTCTTCACAGGCTAAGTGTCTGATCGGAAGTGACGTTAATGTATATTTTTAAATGAAGTTTAAATAATTGAAGCTGTACACCCTATTTTCTTCACTTTAGTAGGTGAATCGGTGATTTATAAAATTATCAACGCACAACCATTATAAAGAGTATGAATTGATCAATTGTTATGCCAAAGTTTGGACATATGTCTTAAACTCTATAATAATTTTCAAGTCGATTCGTACTATGAATTATAAATGGAACGATGGGGTCTACTTATTCCTGACGTAACTTCTTAACGAACTAACGTAACATTGCGTAATACACTTCACTTTGAAGTGCATTAGTCAATCATTAACTTCACGAGCTCAATATTTGGTTCTTAAAGAGATGGTTTGTTCCCACTTTCCCGGCAGATTGTCCGAATAAAATGAAAATATCAGCTCATTAGTAGGATTTTATCTGCCCTTATCCGTATAACCCAACTAATCCGGATTAGAAAAATTTACTCCGGATAATCTGCCGGGAAAGTGGGAACACCCCGGACAAAAAGTCCATTTGATTTTGGATGAATTTCCCATTCATAAGAGACAGGTGTATGGTCGGCAATCCGTGCCAAAATTGTCTGTGTGATTTGTATCTGATACAAGACTTCATTCGGTTTGGGCAAAGTTTGTCTTCCCTGTAGACTAATAAGAAAAAAAAAATTCAAATTCAAAAATTGCATTGGATGATTTATCCAAATAAAAGGGATTGTAGAGAGGTCTTTCTAAAGAAAATTTTTTATATGTATCGGGGACACTGATAGCATCCATTTGCATCATTCCAATTTTCAATCAGACGTCCGTGGTTTCTGAAATTCTACTAATTTTAAGTTTTTTTTATGACGTTACTAATGGCGAAGGTGTTTTCTTGTGTGATAAAGCATATTTTGCGATTAGTGAAGTCATCAAATGCTTAGTTTTAGTGGAATTGCAGGAACCACAAAAGTCTGATTGAAAATTGGAATGGTGCAAATTGATGCTATTAGTATCTCTGATACACATATTTTTTTTTAGAAAACCTCTTTAGATTCACTTTAAGATTAATTCTAGTTATTGAAGAATCAAGGATTTAAACATTAAAATCTTTATTGTTGTCGACCCATAATTTTGGATTGTGGATTATGATTTTAGAATAATGTTTTGGGCTAATAAATTGAATGAATATTAATTAGGAATCTATTTTTAATTACCAATTAATTATTCAAAACAGTCATTAAACCTAAATTAATTAGATTGGGTAAATATGGCTAAATGGAGAGAACAAATAGCGCCCTTGAGTAATTTGTCGCCGGAAATCGTCTGTCAAGACAATGGAAACCAGAAAATTGGCCATGGAACTGACAGAATTGTTCCAACTCCTTGAATGTGACAAAACATTAATTTATTGACCTCTTGACCCCTCTTCCTTAATTAGATTACCCCTAAAAGTAAAAATCAATAAACCGAGGAGCAGAAAAGTGGGACGGAAAACTCCACTATCTTAATTTGATAAACTGTAATAGAAAAGTACTTGAAACAATAAAATTTCTACGAGACGCAATAGAAGTAATTTATTGCTGGTTTCCCCTGCTCAGTCAATGACAAAGTCAACAGAAGCATAATTAGATTTGAAGTACAGATTCATTGTCCATTCGTCAATTCTCGGTAGTTTCCGTAAATTTGAATCTGATGCAGAGCGATTAGCGTAACTTTGATTCAACGTCTTTATGTCCAGCTTATAGACATTGTTAGGGAGAGGCGTTTTTCATTTTTGGAATAAGGGGTTAAGAACGAAAACGTGCCTCGAAATGGTTTTGTCTTCAGTGGATCAAATCTCAAACACTTTGGGCCCGACCCGATGCATACTGTACGAAGCCGTATAGCCCCTATCTTTGTCGAACAAACGGATGGTGTGCGGTGATGTCCTACTCTTTCGGGAAAGTATATCGGGTATCGGGCAACATTCTGACCATTCGGCAATCCCGGCAGTTTCCGTATAGATGAATCTGATGCTGCAGAATTCTAGTCTAGCGTAACTTTCCTTGAATGGCATTTTAACCAGTGATTGTTGTTCCATAAAGCTGTGTCTATATAGCGTAACTTTCACGGAAGCCGTTTGTGTCCTGACATGCCTTGTCGAATAAAGTGTCGTCAAAAGGTACTCAACTGTGCACTGTAGGTGTAAGACACATTTGTTATATAAAAGAAACTTTTGCGCTATATTTTTTGAAGAATACGAATTGGATCTATTCGATAGCAGGCTAATATGGTGGGTTTGATGTAGTCTCGACCGAACCGCGATGCACCTGAACAAAATCCCTTCAAACAAAATCATGTCATTACTCACAAACTCACGAATAAAACTCCAGAAAAAAATGATGGAATAATGAATAAACAATAGGAAACACCAGACATCGAGAAAAATCATTCTTTACACCAATGAATGTCCAATTGTTATTTTTTCTTCGCTTTTCTCGCGTTTTTTCCTGTGGCCATCTGTTCACTATTTTGATCGTCTGCTCTCCAAGGCAATTACAAGGGAGATAATCTAATTATTTTGACAATTTGTTATCAAGTTTTAATGTTGTCTTTTAAACAATCCACATTCGTTTTAATCAGAGTTAGTGTGAAATATTTATTCTAGCGTGTCACAAAATTAGGTTTTTCATTCATTTATTCAATTTTACAATCTGCCATTCTTTCATTCATTCATTCATTCATTCATTCATTCATTCATTCATTCATTCATTCATTCATTCATTCATTCATTCATTCAATTTTACAATCTGTCATTCATTCATTCATTTATTCAATTTTACAATCTGTCATTCATTGTTTCATTCATTCATTCATTTATTCAATTTTAAAATTTTACAATCTGTCATTCATTCATTTATTCATTCATTCATTCATTCATTCATTCATTCATTCATTTATTCAATTTTACAATCTGTTATTCATTCATTCATTCATTCATTCATTCATTAATGTCCAATGAAATGTAATTTAGTTTCACTCCTTACTATATGATATATACTTATTGGCCCAATGGAGTCTCTTACTGTCTTGTGCTTAATATGTCCAGTGAAATGAAATGGAATTTAGTTTCACACCTTACTATATGGTATACCTATTGGCCCAATGGAGTTTCTACTGTCTTGTGCCTGATATGTCTAGTGAAATGAAATCGAATTTAGTTTCAGACCTTACTATTTGGTATACCTATTGGCCCAATGGAGTTTCCTCCTGTCTTGTGCCTGATATGTCTAGTGAAATGAAATGGAATTTAGTTTCACACCTTACTATATGGTATACCTATTGGCCCAATGGAGTTTCCTACTGTCTTGTGCCTGATATGTCTAGTGAAATGAAATGTAATTTAGTTTCACACCTTACTATATGGTTTACTTATTGATCCAATGGAATTTCCTTTATGTCTAGTGAAACGAAATGTAATTTTGTGTCCTACATTTCATTTCTTTGGACTAATGAAATTAAATGAAGTTTAATCTCACTCTTATGTTACTGATTGAACAAATGAAATGAAATGTAGTTTTACTTCCTATTGTTCTATACCTAATTGTACCAATGAAATTAAATGGATTTTGGTCTCATGAAATGAAAATTTTATACCAATGAAATGGAATGGAGTTTTTAAGTCCCACTGCTTTTTTCCTAATTAGGCTAATGGCGACGTTATATCTAAGTAGGACTAGACCTTTAAAAATATAATGAGTAAGGAATAGAGAATATTGACACAACACTTGTCAGCTAATAACATGAATTATATCAAAGTTATAAAACTGACATTCTGACTGTAATATTTTATAATTTAACCACCTACTTCTTAAATCGATCTAATTATTGATATTTCTTAAAGGTATAGCCTACAGTTAATTATTTCTGCCTTTTAGTTTTGAAAATAAATCATATCATTTTTCGTTTAAAGGGACAATTTTTGCCATTTTCGAGGGTGGATTTTGGTCTTGAATATCTGTAAATA